AAAATATATAATAATAAATTTAACTTTTAATAAAAAATTAATAGATAAGCTAAAGACTGAGAATAATATAAGATAGTTTAAATATAGATAAAAAACTATCCTCACCCTCTATAATAAAGTAATAGATAGGCTAAGAGCTAGAAGAAGTAAAACTCCTAAAAAGAATTCTATATACTATAAAAAGTATAAGAATAGATTACTTAGAAATCTAGATATAAATTAAGAAATACTAGTATACTATATTAATAGATAGCAGTATAAAACTTAACTACCTTTATCTAAGAGTAGTAAATAAGCTAAAGCTATTATAAAGGAATAAATTAAATTTATATTAAGTATAGAATCTTAAAGAAATAAATTTTAATTATAATAATAGATATATTACTAAGAAGGTTAATTACCTTAAGATTTTTATAAATAAATATAATAAAGATATCTCTTTTAATATTATCCCCTCAGTATAATATAATTTAGTTCTAGGCTATCTATAGCTATAATAAGTAAACCTACTAATTAATTAAAGAACTAACTAAATAACTTTTAATAATATTAATAATTATTCCTCCTATAAATAGAATTTAAATAATAATATAAAATCTTAAACTTTAACTAATAATAGTACTAGTAAAGTAATATATAATAATATAATAAATACTTTACTACTTTAAGATACTAGATATAAATACTATAACACCTAAACTATTCTATTTATAATAAAGAATTTCTTACTATAGTTAACTTATTTAAAGAATTTTAATATTACCTCTTAGAAAGTAAGTATAAGATTAAGATCTATATTAACTATAAGAATATCTTATACTTTACTACTACCTAAAAGCTTAGTAGCTAGTAACTTTATTATATAAAGTATTTATTAGAATTTAATTATATTATTATCTATAAAAAGAAATTGGAAAATAGCAGAGCTAATACTATTAGCTAATAATCTAACTTTAATATTAATATTACTAAGAAAAATAAGTAACTTCTTAAGCTAACTTTAAAAGAATATCTTAAATAGAAGTATATAATATACCTTTAGAAATACCCAGAGAAATAATATAATATATATAAGATACCTAGTAAGAAATAACAAAAGAAAATCTACTAAGAATACTTATTCTATAATAATAATAATAAAGTATTTCCTAATAAATTTAATTATTACTATAGAATATTAATATACTATAAGTAGATATTTATACCTTGAGGACTAGTATCTAGCTTTTTAAAGAAAAGAATAGAATACTATTAAATTAAAAGGCTTATAAGAAGCTAAGCTTATAAAAGATTTTACTATAACTATATAATATTAAAAAATAATAACTACTTATAAATAATATATATAGAGTATAATAAGATAAATTAAATATAAAATAATAACCTAATAAAGAAAGTATAATTTATTGATAAAAAAGAAAAATAAAAGCTCTATAAATTTAATAGAATTCTTGTTATAATATATATAGTAAAATAAGAAAACCTACTATTAAAGAAAATCTAGAAGTATAATAATATACTATTTAAAAAAGAATAAATAGACTAATTACAAATTCCTAATAAATTATAAAAATAGTTAATATGGAAAATATATAAATATCCTCTATATAGATATTAGAATATTAATAGAACTCTTAATAGACTAAGAATAATATACTTATTCCCTTAAATAAAGAAAGTTATCTTAGATACTATTAAAAGCTATAATCTATATAAAAAGTTAAAATTACTATAATATAAGTCTTATAGATACTTATAATTACTACTAGTAGTATAATAACTTTAGGAATCTATTATAATAGATTATATTATTAAGCTACTACTATCTAAAAACCTAATAACTAAAATACTCTATAATAGTATATTTATTATTATAAATAGGCTTATAAAGTTTATATACTTCCTACTTTATTAAGAGTCTACTAATATAAAATAACTTTTCTATATATTCTTAAGAAATATTATTAGTATTTATAAATTACTAAAAGAGATTATATCTAATAGAAAAATAACCTTTATATTTAAATTCTAATAAGAATTAATAGCTTAAATAGGATTAAATTATAAGCTTATAATAGCTTAAAGACTATAAGTAGATAGATAAATAAAAAGACTTAATTAAATAGTTAAATAGTATCTATAATACTATATTAATTATAAGTAAAATAACTAAATTTAGAAGCTACCTATAGTATAACTAGCCTATAATATATCTATCTTAAAAATAATAAAACTTATACTAGCTTATACTAATTTTAAATTTACCCCTAATATCTATAGATTATTATAAGAAGAATCCTTAAATACTAAAATAATTCTTAATATTAATTAGCTATAATAGCTATATAAAGAAATAAAAATAAAACTGGAATTTATTAGAAAATAAATAAAAAAATATTATAATTAGAAAAGACTAAATAATAAATTTAAATTTAAATTTATTAAACTCTATAAAATTTTAAAAAAATCTTAAAAAATAACTATAAATAACTTATTACTAAAAGTTAAGCTCTATCTAATTTTTTATATTTTATTACTTAAATTAATATTAGATACTATTTATATTAAGATATAAAATAATAATTAAAAAATAGAAGTTAAGAATAATTAAGAATTTACAGTTAAAATAATTCTTAATATAAAAAGAGAAAATAATAAAATAAAATATCTTATAAAATAGAAAAACTATAACCCCTTAAAAGATATATAGAAATTCTATAAATATCTTATATATTATTAAGTTAAATTAAAAGACTTTTTTAAATAAAAAATACCCTAGAAAATATATATTAAAATAGATTCTAAAAATCTCAGCTACTATTAAAAAAAATAGAAGAATTTCCCCCAATAAAAGTAATAAAACTAAAAATAGCTAATAAAAAAGAATCTAATAGCACCTCTAGATAAATAATATCTCAAGTTATCTTAAAGTCCTCTACTAGTATACTATCCGTAGAAGAACAGCCCTTAGAAATAACTAAAGAAGTAGCCTAGCACTATACCTCCTACTCGGCCTCCTTCTTCTCCACCCGCTCAAGCTCCTCTATATTATTAATACTATGCGATACGGCGCGTATTATTTTTTCGAATTATAATTTCTTTTGTTTTTAAAGATACTTGATTTTGGCGTCTATTTAGCGATAAGTATCTTCGGCCTCCTTTAGCTTGGATTTGAAATAAGCATAGTAAGTAGCAACCTTGCGTAGCTGCTAAGGGGAAAGGCTATAAGTGTTATAATATAATAAGTTAAGATGGATATACTTGGAATACTAAGAAGAGTTGCTAGAAGATATAGTATAATCTATATTAGATTACTTATAGGAAGAATAGGCAGTCTTTATGGTAATCTAATAAGATAAAATAACTTTAAGAAGGATATTATAATATTTAGTTATTAGGGCGCGGGGTTTATATTTCTTAATAATATAATTAGATATTATAAAAAGAATAATAAAAAAGAAAAAAGAACTTATTAAATAGAATAATTAGGTATATAGTATATAATAATTAATCTTAGAGTTAAGAATTAATAGAGAGGAGATATTATATTACAACCTATATTAGATTAGGCTCTAACTATATTATATATACTAATAGTATATCTACTTATTCCTCCTATTATATATCAATTACCTTAATTATTAGATAATTTAAGTAATCTAAAAATATAATAATTATTAGGATTATTAGATAATCCTTATAATCTATTAATCCTCTATAATTATATAGCCAACTGAGTAGTATATATTCACTATATATAGCTACTTAGCTATTAATATAACTTAATTACCTTAATTACCTTAACTTGCTATATATTACTATATTTAACTATTACTAGATATAATATTTACCCTGTAAGTAACGCCCTAACTGCTCTGCTAATATAAACCTACGGTTTATCCACCAGCAACCCGCCTTCTGCCTACTCTAGACTACGTCTACAGCAGACTAGAAGATACGACTGTTATATATATTCTATATAATTTATGTATTTTATTAACTTCTTATAGAGTAATTTACCTTTTTTACTATCTATTAACTTTACTATTACTTAAAATGTCCCTATAACCTGCTCTTTCTAAACTAAAGCCTCTTCCTATTGTAGGAAATATCTGGGATCTTCCTCTAAAAGGCGTGCCCGAGTTCGAGCATTAGCTCAAGTTCAAAGATGAACATAGCCCACTCAGCTGAAGCTGTTCAACTTCCAACTTGCAGGACCTCATGACACTTCATGACAATGGCTTGGCCACGGTCCCATGGTGTTAAGTCTGGTTCCACTGAGACAAACAGCGTGACTGGCTGTTCAGGTGTCTCCCTAGGAACTTCATCAGAAAGGGACCCGTACGTAGCCAATGCGCCAAATGTCGATGGCGGTCTAAGCCACATTCTCAAGTGCCTGGAGTATGCCCCGGTGAAGAGAGCCTGCGGGGTTATTCCATACATCGATAATGTCATGTCTTCCGCTGGGGTCAAGTGCTTTGGGAATAGGCCAAAAGTCCTTCTTGAATTCCCATGGATCCGAGCTTGATCGGACTACCAACCTTGGTTGACTCAAGGTTGACCGGGCAAGCCATAGTAGTATCTTGTTTGTTCATCGGGGCTGGGCTGCGACGGAATGAGGGTAGCCGTGGCACGCTCTATGACGATGGCAGAAAAGAAATCGAAAGTGGCGGTGCTGCTATAGCTTTTGCGTTGACGTGCCGAGACTTTCGAGGGGGCGATTTTGGATGCGGCGTAGAGGAAATGTCACGGAGCCGGACATGGTGTGCTATTTGTACCCGTCAGCTTAAACTCCACCGAGGTGTGGCGAGCAGTACAAGGTTGATGCAGAGAAACTTACCCATGACGGTCGCCTAATGGCAGACCAGCAAAGTCAGACCGGATAGGGGTTGGATGCCAGACGTTAGACCAGAGATTGGTGACGAGGTCGGCTACCAGGACGTAGGACACGAGAAGAGGTTCTTGTCAATCGTAGACCGCAGACTATTCGAGAAGGACGGATTTTAGAATCCTAGAGGGTTGGCCACAATGCGATGACAGGCCAACAGCCGATTCACCTGAGAGAGACAACGTCAAGTCTTGGGCACGCGGACGTCGAACTTGGCAATTCTGTTGAGCTCCTTTCCTTCCCCTCCCTTCTGGATTTTTCTGTCGCTGCCGTTATCAAAGCAAGTAATCCCTCGGCTTCGCCTCGTCCCGGGCTTGCCTTGGTGTCTGACTGGGATGGCTTCTGTCACAACTATCACACGTTGGGGTCATCCTGAGGCGCATGACAACGCGATCTTCCTCTCTTTCTCAGACCACATCGTCGGCCCTATGACCGGGATCCCGGTTCCCGGGACCCACAGGGCCCCGGCCCCTGTGCGGCGGCGACGGACTGCCGCCTCCGGCAGCAGCCGTCTTCATCATGTATAAAAGACGGGCTCTAGGCCCGTCCCTTAGCTAGAAATCAAGAGCTTCTATTCACATCACAATGCACCCTTCCTATCCGATGCAACAGCTTCCACTTGCCCGACAAAGCGAAGACCCAATTCACTGCCCCAGCATCTCGAGGGTATGTGGATGTATTGTGACCATATTCTGGACCTCTTTGGGGGTGAAGGGGTGGGGGTGGAAGAAGGCATATTGACGCATTTGTGTACTGTATGCAAGCATTCAAAGAGTTGTGGAAAGAATATTGATCCTTTCTCCAACATTGCGTCTGGAGCTGTGATTTGGTCGATACCATGGCTTGTTCGGACAACGCAAATACAGCGACCGACTACAAAGTTTAGAATTGCGGGAGGGTCACACAATATCGTGGGACGGAGCGCGAGACTGACTGAGGCTGAGAGAGGCAGCTCATTTCGCCGAAGTCACTTTATCTTTTCTCTACGAGTCTCTGACTTAGGTAAAGTCTCCGTTACGCCCAAACACCCACAGCTCATGCAATGCGCTCAGTGAATAGACAATATGTTCTAAATTAAGCGGCCACGTAAGCTTAAGTACGTTCCGTCACTCACCCCTTTCCTTATTTGCAGTACCACGTACGAAGTAGCAGATCGACCCACGTCGCGTCAGATCCGTGTCCCACCAATCTTTTTTGACAGCTACAGGTCTCAAACTCATGCTGTCCTAGAACGTGACTTTTAAAACAGTACTGCAACCTGTCACTGCATAATGAATCGTCGATTACTGTACTGCCGGTTTGAGACTAAACATCAAACAAAGCTTAAGCCGCAGTTTATGCATTCCATGCTGGTTTCAGCCGCCAAAGGCCCGCTTAGTGATCTTTGCCAGCTCATTGTTAGAAAAGCTATGTCACAGAGATATCCAACGCCAGACTCTCCTTGCACCACAAATATCATTATCTCCTATTCTTTGGGAACACTATCCTGGTGATGGGCCCTTTCTTGCTTGCGTTTTTTTCTTAATCAGTTACTCTCTATCTTTTGAACACCTTGATTCTTTAATCCTAGCATTCCATTTGATTTAAAACGGGCAATCCAATCACAGCGCCTTCAAAAACCGCTTCCAGCAGGTCTGGAACTCGATCATAATAATGGCGTTCGGCGTCCTTGACGACCTCCATTTGGCGTTGCCTCCTGGAAGCTCGATTCTTAGCGAGTCCGATAATGTAACCACGGGAAGTCCCGGTATGTGCATGAATTCTGTGTCCTGCAAAATCTGGAAGAGAAACTACAGCCAGCCTAGCCTTCAACACACCGTTGAGCATCATCTAACTGCTGCCTACTAGACATGGTGGGCTTGAAGAAAGTGGGAAACATTGTCCTAATCCCGCAGCCATCGGATAGCCCAAACGATCCATTGAATTGGTACGTGCAGCCCTTGACTTGGGCGACCTCGGACTGCTTGTAGAATTTCATTCCTCGTTTATTGACATGTCAACGTCTAGGTCTACAGCAATAAAGAACACAATTGCCATTCTAGCATCAGTTATCTCCACCACAGCCATTGCGTAAGACAAGTGCTTTTCCAGATTGATTCCAAGACTATGCTAACTAGTGGTAGCATGTCTGTGATGCTCACACCGGCTATTCCCATAATCTCGCGTGAGTTCTCCGTCAGCGTCGATACTGCCTCGACATGGACAATTGGCTTGTTGGTTTTCTGGACTGGCTTCACCGCCTCTGTCACGGCAGCCGGTTCAAACGTTATTGGAAAGCGACCTTTCATTCTCGGCTCCATTTTGATTATGGTCATTACCAATATTTGGGGTGCCTTCGCGAGCGTAAGTGCATCTACTGCAATGGCTGGACCTCAAAATGCTGACATCTCAAGTCCTTCACTTCGTTAGCAGCTCTACGAACCCTACAAGGAATCGCTTCTGCACCATACGAAACCATGGTCACTGCACTCATCTCCGACATCTTCTTTCTCCACGAACGGGGCATGTGGCTCGCCCTTTGGAGCCTAGTTATAAGTGCTGGAATTCTGATTGGGTGAGCTATGTACTTTACCCTGGTTGAATCGTTCATTGACAAATGTTGGAAATACAGCCAGGTTATCGCCGGCCTTATCATTGACAGTCTCAGCTACTCAGCGACCTTCGGTTTTAGTGCACTAGTGTTCGGCATACTCTTAATATTGTCGTATTTCCTCATGTTCGAGACAACATACTCGAAGCCACGGCCTACTGTTGGCCATACACCAATGCCCATGGACACTGTGGATGCCCCTCGCCCGCCAGAACAATCGCATACCCGAAACGAGACATCTCGAACAGGTCCTGACGGGCTCAGCAAGACACTGTCTACAACGCTCTCTATAGATGCGTCTTTATACGCATCTAGCTTTGATGATGATGTAGATCTGCTAAAGGAGCATGTTGAACGACCCGAACCGTATGCGCGAAAACTACGCATTTTCCGCTGTCGCGTCTCCAAGGCCAACTTTTTTCGCGACCTGATCAGTCCGTTTCAGCTGATGGCCTACCCAGCAGTGCTTTACGGTGCTACAATTAATGGCTTCTGCACCGCTCTCGTAATCGGTACGGGTCTTTTATCAACAGTCCTCCTGACACAGCCTCCGTACAATCTCACACCCACGTCCTTGGGCATCGTCAACATCGCCCCGTTCCTCGTCGGCCTTTTTGCAGCGCCAGCTGCGGGCTGGATGGCAGATGCAGTGGCAAAGAACTTGGCACGGCGCAACGGCGGTGTTTTCGAGCCTGAGTTTCGCATATTGCTGATGGTCATCGGTGCTCCGATATTCATTGCCTCATTCATTGGATTTGGTGAAAGCGTTGCACGAGGCCACCCTCTACCTATTGTGCTAGCATGGTTGGGGGTACAGCATGCCGGCTTCCCATTCGTCATTCAGGCAGCTCTTTCGTATGTGCTTGACTGTCATGCTCACGAATCTAATCTGGCATTCGTGGTGATTGCTTTTTTTAAGGCCATTTTCTCCTTTATTGCCACCTCGTTCCTGACTGGGTTCATGATCAAGGTTGGAGTGCGGCACTTTTTCTTCGGAGTGGCTGGCGTCACCACGGCAGTGCTGATGCTATCACTCCCGGTATACGTGTACGGGAAGAGGTTCAGGAGTTTTGTGAGTATATGTTCCCTTACTACGAACTACGCTGGGCTAATTTTCTTTGTAGATGGCGCGGAGTGCAATTGGTAGAAGGGAGACGAAGCAAAGATGAACCATTATTGCTACACGAGGTGGAAATTGACGGTTGTGTTTCATTCACTCGTTACGCAAAGTAGATAGTTTTGTAGGAATTCACTCGTTGTTCCTCCAATTTGAGAAGATACTAATCCTTAGTTGCGACACGGTGCGCCTTTACCATATCCACCGCTGCCGCTCCCACTCCGCTTCAATCTGCTCCAAGTCACACATCCTATAATCCAGCGTACCTATCTGTAGTGAATGATTGTCATTTCAGAATCGCTGGCGGCCTATCGTGCGGTGCAGTCGGTACTCACAACGCGGACAGTCGCCGAACAGGCTCTCTTTTCGGCGGCGGACTACGGCTATACTGCAAGTATGCGACTGCTGCTTGCAGTGGAGGGCGTCGATACGGACGCTAAGATTGATACAGGATCCGGGGAGACGCCGCTGATGCGCGCGGCGAAGTCGGGGCATGACGAGGTAGTCGACGTGCTCCTGGCGATGCAGCGCGTAGATCTAAACGGGCGGGATCAATAGGGCTTCTGACTCCTGTTGCGGGCAGCGGCGGAACTGCATAAGGCCGTGGTCTGGCGGCTGCTGGCTACCCCCGGTATTAATCCAAATATCGGCGATCAGCATAAATAGATAGCTCTAACCTAGATGGTAAAGTATAGCTATGCAGCACTGGTAGAGTTATTACTAATAATATATAGGGTTAATTTGCAGCTAAGGGATAATATAGGCAATATACTATTATTTCAGGCAGTTTTAGCTGGGTATAAAAGAGTAGTAGACATACTATTATATTTAGAGGCTATTAATATAGAAGTAATAGATAATAATATATAAATAGCTTTTATAATAGCTATATAATTTAATTATAGAAATATAATATAATTATTACTAATTATAAATATTAGTATAAATATTAAAAATATATAAAAAGAAATACTTTTATTTAAAGTTATATAAAGAGGCTAGGTAAATATAATAGAAATTCTACTAGTTATAAAAAGAGTAAATTATAACTTTTAAAATATAAATAAATAAATATCTTTATTTTAAATAGTAGAAAATAGCTATATAAAAGTAGTTAAGTTATTCTTAATAATAAATATAAATTCTTAATAAGAAAACTTAATATTTAAATTTACTATATTTTTATTATATATATATTATAGTTATTAAAACTTAAGTTTTAAATTTTAAGCTATTTTTTTCTTTTTTATTAAAATTCTATTTAACTTTTTTAACTTTAATTTTAATAAATATATTAAAAACTTCTATAACCTAATTTAATACTTTAAGATTCTTATTTAAATTCCTCTTTTTACTTTAAATAGCTAGTATTTATACTAGCTTAATATAATATAATAACTTTTAAAATTAAAAGTTATATTTTTTACAGCTAATTTTTATAAGAAACTTTTAGCTTTTATTATTATTAGTATTTTTAATATTATTAGCTAGGTTATATAATATAGCTATTTCTATTTAAATAAATATAATATTAATACTAATAATTTAATTTTTTTATAAATTAACTTTATTTTTATTATTAAAAAATAAACTATATTTAAAAATAGTTAATATAATTCTTTAATTTATATTTAAATATTTTAAGTAATATAATAAGAAATTTAAAAGGGTTTTTTTTAAGGAATTTTAAATAGTTATCTAGCTTATATTTTTCTTTTTTATTTTAAAAATTCTAATAGAATTTTATATTATATTAAAATTTAAATTTAAAATTTTAATATATAAAAATATATATAATAAGAGCTTTATAATTAATAATTAATATAATAATATTTATTTATTTATTTATTTAATATATATTATTTTACTTATATTTAAACTTATAAAACTTCTTTAATTAATTTTTAAAAAAAACCTTCTAGCTATTTAATTATAAAATAAAAACCTTATTATAATTTTACTTTATTATTTTAAAAAACTTATTATTATTATTAAATTTATATTAATAAATTTATTATTAATCTTATTTAAATTATATAATATATATTTATTTATTTTTTAATTTTAACTTTCTTTAAATTATAAAAAAGCTATTAAAAATTTATATATAAATTTATAGCAATTAATCTTATAACTTATCTAATTTACCTTTTTTATAATTACTTTAATAGTATTATATTTACTCTTCTTAATATAAATCTTTAAATACTCTTATAGTAACCTTCTAAATTATTATTAATATCTTAAAGCTTAGCTTTTTCTTTTTTTAATTATATAACTTTTATATATTAATATATATATAAATACTAAGTTTATATAGCTATTTACTTAAAATTCTAATTTTATAATTTCTAGGGCTAGTTTATTTTACTATATTATAAAGCGGGCTTTATATTACCTTAGTAATCTTTATTCTTATCTTTTTCTTACTTTTAATTTAAGCTTTTAATAGCTTTAAATATACCTCTATTTTTATATCTTTTAGAGCTTAAGAATTTAAAGCTTATTTAAGGCTTTTCTAAATCTTATAAAAAGCCTTTTTTCTTTTATTTCTTTTTATTTCTTTTTCTTATTATTCTCTTATTATTCTTATTATAGTTATTTCTTATAAATATAATAATAAGTTATTTAAATAAAATTTATTAAAATACAATAAATATTAAAAGAAAAGTTAATTTTTTAATAATAAAAGATTTTTTTTTATATTTTATTATTTATAATAAAATTACTATTTTAAGGTTATTAACTATAAATAATAAAATTAAAGTTAGAAAAGTTAAATAGAAGTTTTAAATAGAAATTAAGAGGTAATAATCTTATTATTTAGCTATTATTTCTTTTAATATTAAATATAACTCTTATTATTTATTTCTACTATTTAAGATTACTATATAACTTTAATTTATTTAATAATATTAAATAAAACTATAAAAAAACTAAATAATAAATATAAACTTAAATATTATAAATAATAAATATAAAATTTCTTTAAAATAAATAAAAAAGTATAAAAATAAAACTTTAGCTAATTTACTATAAAATTAAGAATAATATATTTTTCTCTAAAAATCTTAAATTTCTAATATATTATCTTAATCTTATTTTAATATTAGTAAAGTATTATAGCCCAGGTTAACTAGGCAGTTAGCTCTAGTAATAATCCCATAGATACTCACCTTTTCTATTTAATAATACATAGAGTATCGCACTAAGAATTGCGCCTATAATCCTAAATCGTTACAATCCCAGAATCGTTACAATCCAACACTCTATACAACCCAATATAATAGTGCTAACAGACACACAGGAGTTTAATAACAATAGGTCTAGCCTACAAGACTAGATACTACTTAAAGGACAAGCTCATCCTCTACAAGAAAGGGCATGCTTTTTCCCTTTTTCAATTTGAACTTTTTGAAGACAATCTTTATCGCTTAACTTGCTATTTAACCAGCTGTCGCAGCAGCTCTTATCCCTTCCTATTTAATTAATTTATCCCATTCCATTCAGAAGCACTTGATCAAGTGCTTGACATCTCTTTTATGTCGATTTCCCTCCGCTAGTCTTAGCTGCAGGGCTTTCTTATCCCTGAACTGTAGGGTATCTCTGACTCTCACTGTCGCAGGCCCTGTCCGCACAAAGTGCATCTCCCACCAACAAACCAACCAATCCCCATTTAGTATATAGATACTTATTTAGTACTTTCATGGAGAGATAGCCTCACCAGCTATCAACACACTTGGTTACATTAAATCTACTATTCTACCATTACCAGACCGTGACCTACATTGCTCACTACGACGTCCTGATCTACTCGATCATACACCACACGCCTCGGACCTACCCTATACCCTTAGGTTAGACCCGACCGTCACATCAGACCAGCAAGGGGACAAGGCACTGCCTTGTCCAGCCGGGGCTAGCCCGTTACATCACCATTATGAAACCTGGATGAACCCCAGCCGCCACGCAAAGGGTCCAGAAGCTGTCCTGACATGCTGAAAGGAATGCTAGAGATGACTTGTCTATCGATCCCACCAGCATGTAGTTGAAATGACTCCAACACTTGATCTGAAGCTCCTAAACTAGGCTCTGGCATGGATATCTTTAGCTTGGTGACGCAGGCGGGAACGTCAAGCCAGATACCCAATTGTAAATGAGAGCTCTCGCGAGCCTCCCAACCCTTGAGGACGAGCGATGCTAGTTGAACGTGTTGCCGCTGATTCATGTCCGAAAGCTGTTGGTGATATTGATAAACACGGTCAATTATGAGCCAACCGCGGTCGGCGAACATTCCGATATGGGGGCGGCTGACAAGCTGACTGACAAGAAAGATGAAGGTGCCGAGTTGAAAATGGTTTTTATGAAACCAAAGAAACCGGTTGTTGTAGGAACTGCCGTAGAACGAGACGAGGTTTTCGTAATGCGACAACCAAATGCGGAATATGTTATCATGAACATTGTTGACCTCAGTGCCCCATTCAGGCGTTTCGCGCATTGGAATAAGCATCGTCCGAATTTCCTTGACTATCCAGGGCCGTATGGCAGCGGCTAGAATATGGACGGACCCCCAAGAAGGGTTACAATAACGATTCTCAATGTCTAGAAGCTCTGCCTCGAGTTCTTCTGACAAGGTAGTTAATCTTTCTAGAGTGGCCTGGCAAACGGCATAATCAGCAGTGAGAGGCTCAGCGACTTGGCCATTCAAGACGCTGTGTTCGAGGTCGACGACGGGATTACTCCTGAAAAATGAGACAGTTGCGTATAGCATTAAACAGAAAACCATCTCAGTAGGGCCATCGCTGGCCTGAATCTCAGAAGATCCGGGAAAGAAGTCGTCATCATTGACGTTCTCCGGCATCTCGGTATTTGATCCCGTAGGTAACAACGTTTCTCCAAGACCCGAGGTTGCCGCGTACATAGAATCGAGCGCCACGATGCTCCACCATACACGCCGGCGCATTTCTGTCTCAAAAGGGGATAGATTTAGGGTCTTACCATCACGGTGCAGGCCCATCTTGTAAGCAATCCGAATGACAACACCAGTGACAACCCAGAGGGCGTGATGATCACTCCGCCCTTGGAGACAGACCTAGTAATGGTAATTAGCGCTTATTCGTGTAAAATAGTGATACTGGTAATTGAACTTTCAGCGTTGATAAACCTACTAGATAAAGTACCAAAGCTTGAAGGGTGGTTATGTCGTAATTCACAAGAAAGTTGACCTTCGTGAGCGCCGTTTTGACACCGACCGCAAACCGTCGGATAGCCTCATCTTTACATATTCCAAGCATCGTCATAGTCTCCTTATCTGACATACTCACAACAGAGGCGAGGTAGATGGCGAATAATAGTGCCTGATATTTTGTTGCTATAGTGGCATGATCCGTAATAGCAATAATAAGAATAGGTTGTAGAGTAGGCACATGGATTAGTTTTGTCACAGGATTGACTCGATCGACAAAGATTTGCCATAGGCGAAACACTTGTATCGGTAAAGGGACTGGGTCGTCAAGGTCGACAGAGGGTATTGCAGTCAGTAGTAGATCTATATGGTCCTCTGACATAGACACATCGCAGGCTGACACATCTTGATCTTCTGATGTTTCGGCGTCTATAGCTTGGCGCAATTCTTGAAGCTAAAGGCACCAATCAGCACATGACAGACATGATGCGTGTTCGGGGGCTGGAGATAGACGGACATTTTCGTAAACAATACCCCATATATAACTGTCTATAAATTTGACGCTGCCGTCTTGCACCACAAGCTTCCCAGATAGTTGAGGACTAGACTGGCTCGCCTCCGTGGACCGAAGGAGCAGTGTAGAATCGGGCGTAGATGAGGCTTGTAACGCTTCCTGTGATAAGAGAGTGGTATCAAGGGTTTCAGCCGATGGGCCCTTAGGAAAAGCACGAGCTACTGCATGCTGCTCAAGGAGAGCCTCAAGCTTCGTCAACTTCTCTTCAAAGACTTGATTGGGTCGCTTTCTCCCGCGAAAAGGAGCTCGTGTGGATGGTACGCAAAAGACGTTGACCTAAGGGCGGTGAGTGTACGGTAAAATCAGAAGGAAAAATGAGACAAAGACCACTCATAACAAAAGAAATTTTAAGAGGCTACATACCTTAGTACAATTCGCGCAGGGGAATATACGATCACATTTGATCTTACGTTGTTGGCATGAGACGCAAGCGAGAGTACGAGGAGTTGTTGCAACTGATGTGCTGGCGTGGTTCTGCATTTGTGACGATTGGTGAGATTGGGTATGGGACTGCCGGCCCTGAATCGTAATAACCTCTACCTGGATGGAGTTCTTAATGGTAAAGAAAGGAATCGCAATGCTAAGATCTGCCGTTTTTGGCCGGAAATCTTTCGGTGCCGTTTCGGAAGTTCCGGGATGAAAGATAAGTCCGAAAGTGGGGGTTCAGTGAAACCTTAAAATATGTAATCACTACTATGACGTATGTTTCTCTGTAGGATGATGACCCTGTATGACGAAATCTCGGATAGATTGATATCCTGACCTTCCAGCCGGCCCGGATGACCGGCATAGGCAATCATCAACATCATCATCACTGTATTGATCCCTATCTATCTGATTGAATTGACCGTAACGGATCCAACACCTTGTATAAAAGTTACTACTGAGGCGACCAAGTCGGTGGCAAGGTGTGGAAGGAGGAACATTCTACAGTGCCTGTACATAAACAGTGATTCCCCTACTGCACACTTAGTCTGAATCAAGCATTTCAATATCTTCTCATTTCAACAGACTACTATGGCGGTCTCGTAGTAAACCTAAGGGGCTCAATTCTCAAAGGCCATGCACACCAATCCTCAAAAACTTGTCATCATTCTCAAGGCGCTCCTTAAGCTTGCCGGAACGGAGTTCATCCACATCCCAAGCTGACCAAATAAACCGACCATGCAGAAATGCAGCCTCATCAGAGGCGGCCCATACAGCGACTGAACCTGGAAGACTTCCTACAAGGTTTCGCGATTAGCGTTACAGGCCCAAATTTATATCACAATTCTACTTACCATCATCCCAGGACAATGAGTCTTCCTTGAGTCCAAATCCTTCGGCCGCAGGAGTATAGACCGCGCCTGGGTGAAAGCTGACAATCTGGATATCAGATGAGTGCCATTCTCGTGCCAGTTGTTGTAACAGGAGAGTGCCCGAGTTCTTGGTCAAGGCATAGCTCGGAGAGAAGTCTGCCGTGGGAAAATCATGAATAGCGCAAGCGGAAACGTTGACGATATATTTCTGTCAACAGTCATGTTAGCTGAGATTCAAGCTAATTCTTGGCGAGGAACCAAGAACAGAACAGACAAAAACTTACCTTGTTACGCGAACCCAAAGCTTGTTTCCACATCCGTTCGGAAAACTGATGCAGACATCGGACATTGATTTCAAAAGCAGACCACACTTTCTCCCATCCTAAGGTTCCCATCTTTCCATGTTGGTCGGTCTGTGCAGCTGCGTTCAGTACAAGCACGTCAACTTGAGTTTCTCTCGCATCTAGGTTATCCCATAAAGTGTCGATACTCGCGGGATTAGCGAGTTGGCAACACAATCCTTCGAACACTGTCTTGGACGCATGACACTTTTTGGCAAGTTCCTTAGTTGACTTGTCAAGCTTAGACTGATCTCTCCCGACAATGATCACCCTGTCGGCAGCAGCATGACCAAAAGCGACAGCAATTGCAAAGCCAATACCTGCGCTGCCTCCGGTGATGAGAATAGTTTTCCCAGCCTGCGACAATTCTGGCCGAGACGGTGAGATTGCTGGGTATGCTGCCCGATGAATTTTGCTTGTAACCGCAATAGGGCGATAAGTAACTTCTGGAACATCCGACATTTCGAGCGAATGATGGTAATAAAGGACAATATAATGTTGTAGATGTAGATGTAAAAGCGGTTAAATCTAGAGTAGAGGCAGACGCAACTGTTTCATGAGCAGTGGAGGTGTTTATACAACCCAGGGGCCTTATTATCTCTTAGAGTGCTATAAGATTACACTTACGCAAGCAGCAGGGATTCGAACTGGAAAGTGTTAGATTGTGACTCTGTTTTACGAAACCTCTGATAGATCGATATCCTGACCTTAGTCGTGGGGGTGTCAGATGACATAAAACCCCCCTCGAGAAAAGAGGGGGTCGGAGGCATCGGGGACAGGGGATAATAACCCCTCTTCCGGCCGATCCGGAGGACCGGCACAAGTAATCATCAACATCATCATCACTGTATTGATCCCTATCTATCTGATTGAATTGACCGTAATGGATCCAACAAATCCCATTTATTTTAAGTAATAGCAGAAGTTATAACGAGTAAGGATCTACATTATAGTATATTGATCTTCTGATGGATCCGATACGGTCAATTCAATTGTTGTAATATTGTTCAAATTGATGATAATTCTCCTGATCGATCCGGGTCATCCAGATCAGCCAGATGAGGGGCCTTTTGGTCTCGTCATCATAACTAAAGACCAGATATCAATCTACTAAAGGTTTCCTTGTATAGGGTCTCTCTCCAATATCTTTATATAGCTATGGAGATTTTCTCTTCAGTTAATAAATAGCTAATTTAGTGGAACTTTAGTGGGTTATTGCACTAAATATGGAGTAGAGCTAGGATTGCAGATTAAGCATACTTTCGGATTTTGTCAAATATTTAACCACCAATTAACATACAGGAATATCTGGACATAATAGGCCCCTGGTAAAGCTCGGGTTTCCGGGCTTTATAATTCCACCGTTGTTAATCTCGGGATTACTTAGGTACTGTCTGGGTGAAACTCAACTGGAGTTAGGTCTCTAATGAAAGAGTAACTCCGTCCTAATGTGTGTCAGAGGCTAAAGCGGGCAGTGGCGAGGACCCGGCGCTGCACTAGCCATATAAGGGCTAATCACATGGATGAATGCTGGTATCGGGCTAGCGTCATCCAGGCGGCTATAATTACGGGCGATTGTGGGAGAGGGGAAGAGTAGATTAAAATATTATAGTAAGTAATATAGATTATAGATCTAATAATAGTAGAATAGCAAATTTAATATAACTAAGTCTATTAATAGCTGGTGAGGCTACCTCTATAAAATTGCTAAATAAATATATATATATACTGAGGTGAATTACAATAAGAAATTGTAATCTGAGCGTTGAATTACAGTTTGGAGTTACAATCCTCTACAGGATTACAGTCTGCATTCATAATCCAATCGGTAATTAGTTAGAAATTTATGGGGTGCATGTAATGATCTTATTGTCACGTGGGCTGGTCAGTCTAGGCTGTGACAAGTTACTAGTTCGAAAGTTTGATAGTCAGTAGTCTCTCGGCGAACGTACACATGAGTGTCCACAGCGTTTAGAGCGTTCTAAGAGGTGTATATCATCTATTTTGCCAGATGTCGTCTAGCTTCAAGCTCTAGTCCAGTTTTCAGCCTAGCGACAGCAACATTACAAGGGTATTGAAAGTTCAATATCAGCTTGTTATAGGCATACGGACATAACCTCAGGAATCGGCATTAAAAAGTCCTTAACTCCGAAGAAGGTCTCTTATTCTCGGACATCTCGCGTCTTGTTTATTGCCGATTATAATAAAATCCATATAGTCAAGGAAAGATAAAAAACAAGTTATGTCCGCCTTCCTCGGCATATCAATATTCAATTCAAAGTTGGAAACCAGTCCTATAATACGGTTCTATCTACCATTTGGTCCAAAGTCCACCTACTTCCAATTCACTTCGCCAGAATGCCTTCCACACTCCCAAGAGACGATGCTGGCAAACCATATGTTGCCTGTATCATCGACGGGAAGCCGCTGGGGCCAAACGCTTTGCCTTGTTTTCCTGTCGTCTCTTCCCAGAAGCAGGAGATTGTGCACTACACTCAGTCTGCCAGTACTGATATCGCGATCAAAGCCGTGGATTCTTCATGGAAGACTTTCCAGACATATAAGAAGACAAGTGTGTATGAGCGTCGCGATTTATTGATCAAGGCTGCAGATCTCTTCGATCGTAAGGTTAAGGATTCGGTCAATCGTCAGATGACCGAGACTAGCTGCGATGAGGCATGGGCAGAAATGAACATCCGCAGTGCATCAGCGTTTTGTCGCGACTTGAGTACAGCCCTGGAATCCGCACTCTCTGGAGAGGTCAAACCAACAGGCGATGGTTCCTATTATCTGATAACTCGTGAGCCTATCGGGCCCGTTTTGGATATCATTCCGTAAGTTTGTTTCTCCATAACTAACCGAGCTTGTCATTTCTGCATCTTGTTTCAAACCCCTTTGAATACTACTTGTACTTACGATCACTTGACAGATGGAACGGTGCTGTTGCTCTATGTGCACGTGCAATTGCAAGTGCTCTTGCAGCAGGGTGCACTGTTCTCCTAAAAGCCTCCGAACTTTGTCCTTGGACGCATCAGTTGGTGGCAGAGACCTTTCTCGAAGCTGGTTTTCCGGCAGGCTCTGTTAATATGATCATATCGAGTCGCTCTGACGCACCTCAAATTACCGAAGCCATTATTTCTCAACCGTCACTGAGAAAGATTGAGTTCATCGGCAGTCAGGCTGTGGCTAAGAACATTGGTGCCGTAGCGGCCAAGTATCTGAAGCCGATAGTGATGGAATTAGGTGATCAAAGTCCAGCTATCGTTCTTGATGACGCAGACCTAGCTCAGGCGGCTGAGCTAATTGTTAAAAGTGCTATGTTGCTCCATGGGCAAGTTTGCTTCTCCACCGAACGCATCATTGTCCATTCCACTGTCAAGAACGAATTTTACAAACACCTTGTAGAAGCTGTTCGGCGGCTCCCTTCGGCAGGACAAGCGGTCTCGAACGCCTTTGCCCAGAAAGCTAAAGCCGCGGTTGATGACGCTATTGACCATGGCGCTAAGTTCCTCGTTGGAAGTAGTGCGTTGACCGGCCCAGCAGCTGTTGCCCCGTCAATTTTGACAGACGTCAACCCGAACGCGCTCTTATTTGCCAGCGAAGGATTCGCGCCAACAGCGTCTACCTTCATTGTCGACAACGACCAAGAAGCAATCGAGGAAGCAAACTCGCGGGACGGTGGTCTCTCAGCTGTCATCTTCACTAGCAGTTACGAGCGCGGATTACGCGTGGCACAAGGAATTGAGTTCGGGATGGTGCAGATCAATACTATAACTCCAGCAGGCGGTAAGTAGTTAGATTACTTCAGTTCGGATTGAACCTTGTTAACTTAGTTGGCTAACACATCGAGTTAGTGAGTGGACCTGCAACTTCTGTCAAGAGCAGTGGATGGGGAAGCACTGGTGGACGATATGGTATAGAGAATTTTCTCTACTACAAAGCCATCTCATTGGCAGTAACTAAACACCTGTAGGGCTAGTTAATAGTACTCTGGCTCGGCTTCGGGACTGACTGTACGTTCCTACGTTCAAAATCATTGCTGAAGCTTCCTGTTGGATCAAAATCGCATTATAGGTAGATAGTCATAGGTGATTAGCAAGGAGCCAGCATTTCCGATTGTCTACCTTCCGTGAGCTTGATTTATTTCGAACCTGAGTCGTCCAGGCACACATCGGATCCTTCAGTCTCGAGACGCCCAGGGACGTTCCCCCTGTTACATCGGAGGAGTGCCACTAAGCATTTCAGGACTGCCTCGATGACTCGCACACAAGGGCCGCACTTGACTGGATATAGGGAAACGCAAACTGTTGCCCTAACGCATCAAGTTCACTGTTGGAGCTATTCCACTCAATCATACTTCGATTTGCTATCCCTAGTCATGAAATATGAGTCCGCATCTAGGTATAACAGTCTCAAATGCTTCTCTGCCATCAACTGGCAATGACTTCACCACATATGAAGTGGGTTGGTAGCGTTCTCTGGTACCTCTTGAATAACATCCCAGTGCTCCTGAATACAAGACCCATTAAACCGGAACAAGTCCACAACGGTACTTGGCCGCTCTGCCCCGACAGTATCGAGTCGAGCATGGAGAAAAGCCAGGTTGTCATCCAGTCCAACTCTAGAAATCGTGAAATTAACCGTATCCGGTGAGACAAATGATAGACTTTTGATGCTATTGTCGCGTCCGGAGAGAGAAAAGGGGTTATGTTGTATATAGTCCTCGGGCACGTGGTCAAGGAGAGCTCGAGTGGCATTTCTATCAATATAGAGTTTCTGGATGAACTCAACAAAGATAGCCCTTTGCTGGCTTGGCGTAACGTGACACGGTGGGCAGTATGGAGCCATGCTCGAGCGATGTTGAGGGGTAGCTCCGGCGGTACGGGCGGTGAGGAGTAGAAGGACAAAATCAAATGGCCGCATGATGATACGCTGACGCAGGTTTCTGCTTTGTGGGGTCGGATACTGTACAAACACGACCAGAGAGTAACGGGACACGCCAAAGATTAAGAGAATGGACGAAACAGTCAATGATAGATTGTGAGTTATAGATCTTTCTTTGTCCCGCGTGTGAACTTTATAGAAGAGCTGTTTTAATATCTCGGCATTTAAGTAGCTCCGGTTTTAGGGGGGTAGCCCTGCCTTAGGAACGCAGCACCGTAAAGACTTGATAAACTTACATAATACGAATGCCCTGTAAAAAGCCCCCTTGTAAATGCTTTTAATTGCATTTTATATCACAAGCGAATCGGAGCAGAAAACCCAAGGTTAAAGTGGGTATCAGCGGTGTGAAAAGTTATTGACAGTCTTTAGTAAACTGTTGGAAGGTGACCCTGTATTGCGAAGGATGACCCTGTATTACGAAACCTCTGATAGATTGATATCCTGACCTTAGTCAGAAGGGGGGTCTGATAACCCCTCTTCCGGCCGGTCCGGATGACCGGGACAAGCAAGGATCAACATCATCATCACTGCTTTGAACACTATCCATTTGATCAAATTGACCGTAACGGATCCAACAGTATCCCATTAATTTATGCGCTAATAAGGAACCTAATGCAAATGGAGTTACGATGTGGCTCTGATTTGTCAGCGGAAGAAAACCCCAAAAGGGCGGGACTAACAACTCCGAACCAAAAGAGTTTAGTAGCCCAGGCCCTCAAGGGGACCGAGATTCTAGGTCTCGGTTCGGAGGACTATGCATAATCTGAGCAAACCTTAATCCTGAAATGGCAGCCATCGGCGTACCGAGGGGGCCGATGGTAAACTCGGGATGTTGACGTTGTCCGAGGACGGCGAGGCGAGGTTCTTGCCATTTCCGCTTAAGGTTACCGCAGTAGCTTGTGAGTAGGTAAGTCTAGTAAGCTGTTCAGGCAAGTCGGCGTATGGGACTCAATCTAAGTAGTGCAGCCCCTCTGACATGAGAGGTAAAAGCCGTTACCAAATGTTAGCCGCGGTTCCATCGGAACTTCAGGTCCACGACAAATCCGGAGGCAGCTAGCTATTACGCTCTAGAACCTTTGGCCCAGCTCCTTTAAGCGCAGTAAAGAATATGTCCTTTGCAACTACCCTTGTCGTAGCACGCGTAACTCGATAGGGCCGAACGACTTGCGACCACTTGTTGACTGCTTCTAACCTCTCGATCGCTCCTACACATTCAACTGCGTTTCATTTATTTCACGAAGAGCGACAAAAATAACCAAAACAAGAAACCCAAAATGAATGAGGCTGTCAAAAGACGCCTAGTCACTACCATGAAAAAGGGTATAGGTTCGACAGCAATATGCCGACTTGCACAGACACATTCGCATCGGGCTTGGCAATCTACAGCATCGGCATCAACAATCGCTTCCGACCCAGCGTAAGATACTTCTCATCCTTCAACTCGAGCTCCCCCCCCCCCTCTCTTCTTTTCTTTTCTTTTTTTCTCGAGCTAAACACGTAACTTCGCAGACCCGGGTTTCCCAGAGCAATGGAAAGCCAGCTTACCAGCACTATGAATTTTGTTTCACCTTCGTCACAGCCCGTCATCCCTACGTTTCATGCGATGAATTTCGACGGCATCATAGAGGTGGAACATGAATATCTCAAAGAGCTTACGAGTGATCAAGTTTTAAGTTGGTACAAGGACATGATGACGGGTGAGTTTACTATCAAAAGTCGCGCGCGCATAGAATATCCAAATACCTAACGTGGACTTGGCTCCTGCTAGTGAACATTCTCGATACTATCATGTCAGACGCGCAGAGGCAAGGCCGTATCAGTTTTTATATGGTATAGACGCATCCAGATAATCCTCTGGGTAAGTTGAACGAGCTGACTTGGTGTGCTCAGGTATCTACCGGTGAGGAGGCTATCACCGTGGGATCCGCAGCGGCTCTGGACGCGGGGGACGTAATTACTTGCCAGTACCGAGAGACTGGGGTATTCCAAAAGCGTGGATTTACTCTTAAAGACTTCATGAGCCAGCTATTCTCTAACAAAAATGACCCCGGTAAAGGGAGAAACATGCCCGTCCACTATAGTGGCAAGGTCAAAACCAACGTCGTGAGTAGTCGCGGTTCGGATCTGACAAAGTCTCACTTGATTCTGACGGGTGCGATGTCGTTAGCACGCCGTCGCCTCAACTTTGGGGACACAGATCCCGCATGCCACAGGGGCAGCGTACGCACTCAAGATGAATAGCCTTGAGAACCCCAATGATAAACCGCAAGTAGCTGTTGCCTACTTTGGCGACGGCGCGGCCAGCGAGGGCGACTTTCACGGTGCCCTCAATTTGGCTGCTACTCGAAACTGTCCAGTAATCTTCATCTGCTGCAATAACGGCTTCGCTATATCGACCCCAACCTCAGAGCAATATCGTGGTGACGGCATTACTTGCCGGGGAGTGAGCTATGGCATAGAGGCTCTCCGAGTCGATGGGACTGATATCTTCGCAGTATACTTAGCGACTAAGGAGGCACGTCGCAGGGCTCTTGAATACGGTGGCCGCCCCATCTTGCTTGAGTTTATGAGCTACCGTGTGTCTCATCACAGTACAAGTGACGATAGCTTCGCGTACCGAACGCGCGATGAGGTCGAGCCGTGGAAGCAAGAGAAAAATCCCCTCGAGCGCTTGCGCAAGTGGCTGCAGATCAACGACCTCTGGAGCCAAGATATGGAGGCTCAGGCCCGCAGGGATATTCGCAAGAACATCCTGCAAGAGCTGACGATTGCTGAAAAGGAAAAGAAACCGAGGTTGTCGAGTATCTTCGATGACGTCTATGCTGAGCTCACCGAGGAGGCTGAAGCCCAGAGGGAGGAGGTCAGACGGTTAATTATGAAGTATCCTAATGAGTATGATGTGGACGAGTACGAGGGTGGGATTAGTGCCCTGTAAATAGGCACAGCTGCGATTTCTAACCCCCCCTTTTTTTTTCTCGGGTTTCTTCGTGCAACTCTATGGTTTGGGATAGTCGATTCTAAGGTTACCTACTAGTCAATTTATATGAAACTATATACTATCTTGTTTCTCTTATATACATCAGCTTCTTTTTCTATGGAACTATTGTTGACTACCGTCTCTCTTAATGGCTGGCCTGATCAGCAATACACAGCATCTATACCAAAGAAGCATTTTATAATGAGCCGATGAAATCACAAGATGCCCGTCACAAGAATGCTCAAATTCATTACCCATCGCAGACCATTGGCTGTTCCTAGAGGTATTCACTGGCTCGATCCCTGAGGTGGTGGATGGACCCAAGACAAACAAGAAGAACTTCAACGCCATCACAGCATGGCTCAAATGTTAATATAGCTGGCTATAGTTCCGTTAACTCAAAGGCATCGCTAAGTCCTTTGACCATGTAGAACGTGATGTTTCAAACATTCCAATAGATGCTCCATGTACAAGAAGGCACCACATAGAGCGGGACATCAATACTCTTCTAGGCTATCTCGAATAGCATCATATATCCCTATTAATTTCAACTAAAGTTAGCGGCAATAACCTTTTCCGCTACGACCTCCTTTGCGCAAGGAACCACTTACGAACAGTATCGGGCATGATCCATTTCTCATATGCCAGCCCGGTATGTGTTGTCCAGCCTGCAATCCGCTTCACCGGCGCCTTGAGTTGGAGGAAGTTCTTCTCCTGGATTGTCGCTGCGACTTCTGCGCCTACACCGTAGTTTACCATGCTCTCGTGTATAACTACGGCTCTACCCGTCTTAGACACACTGTTAATAACAGTCTGCCTGTCCCATGGATAGATGGTACGCAGATCGATTAGCTCGATGCTGGCACCCTCAATATCACTTTCGATAGCCTCTATTGCCTTCATGCAGGTATATATGGGCCGCCCGTATGAGATGACTGTCAGGTCAGCGCCTGACCTTATGACCTCAGCCTGGCTTAAGGGTAAGGTATAGGCCTCTTGGGGCACCTCTTCTACCGCCGCTCGGTAGAGGATCTTGGGCTCCATGAAGATGACGGGATCTTTTGACTCGAGGATCGCCGACAAAAGCAGGCCCTTGGCTTGACTAGGGGACCGGGGCATAACAACCCGAAACCCGGGAATATGGCAGAACAGTGACTCTGGTGATTGAATATGGTACCTAGGCAAAGTTGCCAGAGCAGCAATCGTCAGTTCAGTATCCACAGCCACTACCGGGCCTCCGCCAGATGATCCCAGGGGGACCCTGCTGGCGGCGGAAAGAAGACTTACAGCGCGCCATGGCCTACACCGCCGCAGGGCATTCTAATGACCATGCCCCCGATATTCCCACCAGTATGTCCTTCTCGGTATCGAAACTTGGCCGCCTCATTGACTATCTGATCGAGGGCTGGAAACACGTAGTCTGCGAATTGTATCTCAACCACAGGCTTATAACCCTCGGCGGCCATGCCGATTGCGGCGCCTACAATTCCCTGCTCTGTGATTGGGGTGTTGAAGACGCGATCGGGCCCATACTCGGACTGAAGCCCCATTGTGCATCGAAATACGCCGCCAAAGGCGACATCCTCGCCAAAACAGGTGACCTTGGTTGATGTGCCTAGGGCGATGCGAAGCGCGTCGTTTACAGACTGGTAAAGGTTCATGCGTTTCGAGGGCAACCAGTAGGTAGCCCGGGGGTTTCCCCAAAGGTCCTGCTGCTGTGATGTAAAAGGGGCGTCGTGTTGAAGTTGACGGGAGTGTTCAGCCGCCGCTCCACCGAAGTCGAAACTGTAGAATACCAGTGTTGCCGGGTTGTTTCTTTCCAGCGCATTGCTCTACCAAACCGCAAAGCCGCCATTGCTACAGTAACAAAAGGGTTTTGTGGGTGTTCAAAGGAATAATCAGCGAGCATCTGAAGCTGCGATATTGTAGTATTTGGTCTTCCGGGCTCGGGTGCTGCAGTATGCGGACGACGTTAGTAGCCTACATGGCGGTTATCAGCCGTCTCGGCATTGAAACATGGCGATGGGCCGAGCCACGACCACTCCCCTTCGAAAGATGGTACTCGCATGACGTCGGACCTCGGGCTCTTCCTTGGCAAAGGCCGGCATCTACTTCGGAGCGAGAAGAGAGCATGAGATTTACCATCTCGCTAGGGGCGAGGCCGAAGAAGATTTGCTTCATCATTTTCCATAGCACACTATCTTGGCTCTATTTCGTAGACCCTCTGCCTATATCTCTCTGGATCTTGGCCATTTTTTTGGGACACCCTACACCTTGAGAAATGAGAAAAGTTATGATTCGGGGCGTAGTGGCGCCATTCATGCGACCAAGATCAGTCGTTCGCGATTGGGTCAGATGCAAGAGTGGGCATTTAGGCCAGCGATCATTTAACGTAACCGCGACAAAGTATGCGGTGAAGCAGTTCATCTTAGCAGACATTGGCGAAGGTAAACCACCCCCTGTTTGGCACTCAGTGACTTTCGTGGAGGCTTGACGAGATTGATATCCCACGCGCCAGGCATTACCGAATGTCAAATTGTAGACTGGTTCGTCGAGGTAGGAGACACAGATGACCCGATAGACAGCGAAACCGGGAGCGAAACAGCAGGATCAAACACCATGGCATATTTGTTAGAGAACTAGGCCACACGAGAGAGACTGAAGACTCCAGTTCAGGAGCCAGGACAATCCGAGCTAGTCACGAGGCCGGCAACACAGCCAACTACCTCAGCGCCGAAGCAGAATGGCACGCAGCTGCTCTCACCTGCTGTTCGACATCAGCTTGGAACACTTGGAGTTGATCCTTCTCAGGTCCCTGGAACAGGGAGAGATGGACGCATCACTAAGGACGATGTTCGGCGGTACCTCGACTCCAGAGTGTCGTCACTATCGACGGAAACCTTGCCGTCTCCTACTATCGGTATAAAGGCCAGGACATGCGAAGATCAGGTTTATTCCCTGACCGCAACCGAGAGGCAAATGTTCCAAACTATGACACTCCCTAGCCATCCCACAGTTCCTCTATACCCATTCTGTCGATGTCGCGGGCTTAAATAGGCTCCGCCGACTCGCCAACGCTGCTGCCGAGTCCGCACCCGAACCCCGGTCGAGGCTCACCACGCTTTCATTCATCTTCAAGACCATATCGCACATCTTTTCTCGGTTTCCCAGGCTAGGCTAGATGCCCAGAGGGACCCGCGTAACCCCAGTTTTGTCCTCAAGTCGAGCCACAACTTCGGTATAGCCGTCGACACCCCGCAAGGCCTCCTTGTGCCTGTTGTCAGGGCTGTGCAGGACCATTCTATTTAATCTCTTGCCGCCGAGGTTATTCGTCTTAGCAAGCTCGCCAAGGCAGGACGGCTTGCGCCAGACGACTTTCGGGACGCAACCTTCATCGTCAGCAACATCGGCAGTATTGGCGGCAACGTGGTGAGCCCTGTCATCGTGGCGCCAATGGTTGGTATTGTGGCTGTTGGCCGAAGCCGGGAACTTCCTGTGGTTGACAAGGATGGGCACGTCGTGTCACAGGAGCAGCTGGCTTTGAGCTGGTGTGCTGACCACAGGGTTATTGATGGGGCGACTATGGCGCGATGCGCTGAGACCGTGGCCGGGTCGTTGGAGAATGTCGAACTGCTAGGGACTGTTTTGCGATGATAGATAACTAGCCCCCAGGGATTGGCATCGACGGAAGGAAGTTTTTATGCTTACATCTGTGGGGCAGTCTACGTGTAAGCTTTGTTACGGCATCGAATTCATTGGTTATCCTGTTATCGAAATTAAATTGGTATTCAGCGGAACAGAAATAAATAATTCCAAGATAGCGCTGTTGAAGCTGCTGTTCGGACTTTTATTTCTGCGCTGCCGCATTCCTCGTTGCCGCGTTTCTATACAGTCACGTATTTGTATTATTTAAGTTATTATAAGACGAAGGACTCAATTGATTAGTTACCCTAGTTACATATAGACTCTTTTCCTTCCTCCCTTAACTACTAGAAACCAACCTTCCTCTGCTAAATCCTTTAACTATTTGAACCCCTTAGTGCCTGACTTATCAGTTCTTAAACTCCGCTCCTATAGCTTAGACTCAATCCCCTCTGCTTCATCTTCTGTCTCCACTTTATAAAATTGTTTAAAGTAGTCAAACGATTCAGGATTAGCCACGGCACCGTTGGCTTTCGATGTGCCGCGAGAAACGATAACTTTGACTGCCTGCTCAATCTTCTTGCCGTTTATTGTGTAAGGAATGTGTGGAACTTGGAAGATGAATTTTGGCACGTGGCGCGGTGTTCTGGCTGCACGGATTGATGCCTTGATGGCCGACTTGAGCTGCCTGGTTAGTTTCTGACCTATGGCCATCTTCACGAACAGCATGACCGCCTCGTCCTGATCGTGTGGCCGACGTCGGCCGACACATAGTGTGTCCTCTATTCCAGGAAGCTTTTCGACCACTTCATAAACCTCGGCTGACCCAAATCGGACGCCAGACGGATTGAGGACACCATCACTAAACGCTCTCGTCAACAGTGCTCATGTGTATGCTATATCCGCCGGCCGTAGAGGACGGTAGGTGTTCAACTTACGATCTTCCCAGCATGATGAAGCCTCCGGTTTTTGGGTTCATTTGGATAAAGTCTCCTTGGTACCATGTCTTGTTTCCATATTTCTCAAAATATGACGACTTATAACGACTCATATCGCCGTCCCCCCAAAAGCAAACAGGCTGACTAGGAAAGGGCCGACGGCAGGTAAGTTCGCCTGCTCGACCAGTCTTCTTGACAGATATGGGTTCAAGGACGTCGGCGTCGGCGATATCCGTTGCCATACCAAGAGTCTCGCATTGGATTTCTCCAGAGTATAGTGGCAGAGTCGGGTTTCCACTGACGACTGTCGATGCTTAGTTGTCAGATGTTCGAAGGTGAGTGCGAGAAATACTCACGCGAACCGGCTATATCCGTCCCTCCGCAAGTCGAGACCAAGTGGACATGGGGCGGGAAGCCAACGTCATAGAACCAGTCGCTCACTTCAGCGGTCAATGTACTACCGGTAGAGATAACGCATTTTAAGCACGAAAGATCGATGGCATTCCCTACAAATGGTCAGCAATTTGCAGCAGGCGTCGTTTGTCAAGGCGCCGAAGGGCCGACCTACTTGGTGCGAGACCAAGATTCTTCAGTTCAGTCAGGTATCTTGCCGAAGTTCCGAAATGTGTTATCCTGCACATTAGAGTCAACCCTAGCCCATAATTCGACGTTAGCTGACCTACCCAAGTCTTGATATCAGGCGCAGCAGGACTAGCGGATCCGGCTTCAAGGGAGAGCCGTCATACAAGACTGTTCGGCCACCGTATCCTATGCCACATATTACCTTTCCCCACATGATCCAACCGGTCTCAAAATATCCGCAGTAAGCACAAGAAGCCACTGAGAGAAGTGCAGATCAAACGTACCGTTGTGTACTGAAGTATGTTGTCGCCTGGCTGTACGTCAAAATGAAGCACTGAATCCTTCCTTGACTGTAGCAGGAGTCCCTAGACGCTGCCTTTAGCTCCCCTACCTGTATATATGGGTAAGCCTAGTTGTAACTCACTGCTGCACTATGAACGATGCACTTTGGAGGACCAGTCTGCGTGATAGTTAGCCTGGAAATAGCATAGTACACTGCTTGGTTGCTGACCGTGCCAGAAGAGTAGACAATGAAGCCAGGATGGTTAAAGGGCAGCCTTTCAAATTGCATAGGCCTTCCCAAACCTCTCTTCAGGAACGCCGACCAAGTGACAAGCTTCAGTGATGGTTCATCTTGCACTGGCCTGCTTCTTGGGATCACTACCATGTTCATGAACTCGGGGGTCTTGAGCATTTGCCTGGCGCACGATCTGTTCTTTTCCATCAATCCCAGGACTTTATTGCCGTAAACAGCATCGCTCTCGACAAAGAGGAGCTTTGGTCGAATCTGTTCCAGCCTGTCCAGAACACCCTCGGTTCCCATATCTGGGGAAGAAGTTGACCACAGCGCTCCAATAGACAGAGTGGCTAGACATGTCACGACGGTCTCGGGTCGATTCGAGAGAACACCACCGACTCTATCACCCTTGACAATGCCAGAAGACCTCATCGCATCAGCTAGGCCGGCTACCTGCGAGATGAGGGTTTCCCATGATATGTTCTGCACATCATTGCCCCCCTCGGTGCACGCGTGAAGCACAATCTTGCTGGGGTCTCGATTGGACAGCAATATCTCGGTGAAATTTAGCCGCACCTCCGGATACCAGGTTGGAGGCGGGAATAGCAATTCTCCGTCCTATGACCGTCAGCACAAGCTCAGTTGCGGAGGGACAAGAGGCCACACACATTGGGGGCGAATGCAATTTGGGGGACCTTGTCACCCGTTAGTTCCAGGAAAATAAAAAGATCGACCCAAAAGTCATTCGTTGTTTCGCCATCCGTGGAATACGTCCAAAGGTCATGGTAATGCTTTAGGCTGAGCGTGTGTCGTTGGTTGATAAAGCGACGGAGTTTGCTCAACATGGTCTTGGAGGGCTCGCGCGGCTGCCAGAGCAGGCGCGGGCTGTGATGCGATGCCATGGCTGGCCCCTGGAGTTCAAAGACACAGAGAAAGAGAGAGAAGTTAGGCAATGCCGATAATGCAGCGTCCATCTCGTGCGTGCCGTGCTGAAGGGATCGGTCTTATAAGTTAGCGAATCGGATGCATGGGAGCAAAGGTCGGCCCTTCCGGCCTAAACAAGTATAGCTTGCCCTATCGCCCCCTAGCGAGACCTGCACCATGTAAGGCAAATCGGCTATGAGATGGAGAGTCGGCTACTAAGACGGAGCCTCGCAGACTCATGGATGATATCCAATTGGTGCACAGATCATGGTAGGTTAGCACATATGTGCGGGCCAAAATGCTTGCGTCTCTAGCCAAATTTCTCAACCTTGGGGAGGTGACAGGCCAAAGCTATTCGCTGCTGGCTTCGCTGCTGGTTTGAGACCAGGTCCGGTTACGCTGCTCTGCCCGAGTCTCACTCAAATCAATGAGTTTCGCGTGCGGTCATAGCTTCGGGATCGGTGCCATTGTTTCCGGATCCATCGAGAAGGGCGGGTTGCTCTCCCTCCACTCCAGCTGAAACTACTCGGGTCACTCAGCCTAGCGAAGCCTTTATATATACATATACACATATATTATACTTGCTTAGTTACTATAATTTGTTGGTCATGGACGACCTCTCCCTTACAAGTGCCAAATACTGCTGTTACCAATCGTTGGATCCCCAGTCCATCACCACTTTACCATCTGCCCATTACGCAACAAGCCAGCGACTGCTTGGACTCCTTAAGTCATGGCGCCCGAACCAAACGGATCCACTCCAAAGGCCAACTTTATCGTTGTTGGAGCTGGCTATGCCGGCTTAGCTGCATCCATCGAGCTTGCTAAGAGGGGATATGCGGTCGAGGTCTTTGAGTCTACCAGGGACCTCACCAATCAAGGTTACTAGCCCCGTTTGAGCAGCAAGCTCCTTAGGACCAGATGACTCATCAATTGTAGGAGATGTAATTCAGATTAGTTCGTATGCAACGTTGTTGATGTCGAATTGGGGTAATGTCCTTGAGGAGTCAGTCAAGATTTCCTCCATTGTCCCAAGCTTGACCTACTTCGATTGGAAGGGAAAGCCAATTATTGAAGCGCCTCTGCCTCAGGAGTTTGGAGGCTTCCCTATCCTATACAGCAAGAGAGGGGAGATACAAAGACTGATGTTTGAGCACGCTAAATCAATTGGTGTCAAATTTCGCTTTGGAGTACGCGTTACCAGCTACTTTGAGGAGGGAGACAAGGCCGGTATCTATCTTGGAGCCGAAAGATTCGAGGCATGCGGCGTTATCGCTGCAGATGGCATCCACAGCCATGCACGCTCAGTCGTCACTGGAAAACCAGCTACGGCGAAAACTAGTGGGTTTGCCATATACAGGTCTTGGTTCAATCTCGACACGCTCAGGGACGATCCCTTGACTCGGGCTTATGCTGAGTCGCCGAGAGACAAGTTCCACGTTTGGCTTGGCCACAATACTCACTGCATCGTCATGACGAATACAAAGCTGCGCGGCGCAGTGCTCTTCTGCACACACAAGGCGAGTTGTGCATTCCCACATTCATATTCATCAAGCAGTCATGCTTACACTTTTCTCCAGGATGACTCTGAAGCTGGCGGTCAGGAGTCGTGGACTTGCCCTGGCAAGGTGTCAGACATACTCGAGGTCATGGATGGTTGGGATGAGGTACTCAAAGCGGTTGCAAAGCATATCCCAGAAGACAACCTCATCGACTGGAAACTCTTATGGCGCGATCCTGCAAAGAAATGGGTTTCAGACAACGGTCGAATTGTACTAGGTATTTTCGCTACTCTCCTCCCGACCTTTTTAGCAACCTCGTGCTGATCGTTCTCTGCTAGTTGGCGATGCAGCTCATCCACATCTCCCCACGTCCGGCTCTGGGGCAGGCCAGGCATTTGAAGATGCCGCCACCATCGGAACGCTCATCGGCAAGAAGGGCATAGCAAATCTCCCTGTTCTCTTCAGGGCGTATGAGAACCTCCGGTACGTTTTCTTCATCCGTTGGCCCATCTTGCCAGGCATATCACTCACCCTTCTCGCCCAGTTATGAGAGAACCAGCCTCACCCAACGCCTCGGCTGGGAGACCCGTCACCGATGGCATCAAACTAACTGGGACGTGGTTAAGGCGAATCCTGCTTTGGTAAAAATGCCTCAGCCAGAATGGCTCTATGGGGCCAATGCGATAAAGTATACTATTGACAATATGGACGCCGCTATCGACAACGTCGAGAAGGGGAGCCCCTTCATAAGTACCAACGTTCCGGAAGGCCATGAGCACGAAGACTGGAGTGTAGAGTCTATGATGGAGCTGGAGAAACAACAGTCACAGGCATCCTTCTACACCGCGAGCGTAGACGTGCGATGACGTAACAAGCAAGGTCGGGCTTGGCTGATGATGGGAAGAACCCGTGGGTGCGTTTCTACTGGTAGCTTGTGGGCGTATATGGATACTTTTGTATGCAGTGCGAGTTATCTCTAGGTCGCAGGCGGGAATACCCATGGTGGTAAAGAGAAATCCAAAGCATGTTTTAATAATTTCATAGCGTCGTAAGTACTTCGGGCATGAAGACGTACACACTACCCCGTATTTCCGAGCTCCGATCACAAAGAGCTTAGCTTTCTCCATGCACACGCCGGGTCGCATATAGCGTCTATAAATTCTCGTACACATTTGTGCCTTGGTTGACACAGTGGTCGATAAGTATCGGGCTCTTATTTATGCTGCGTTGACGTTCTCTTCGTCACGCAATGGCAACATTTGGGAAACTTGTCAGGTTCAAAGACAGAGCCGGCACTGCGTTCTACGGAGAGGCGGAAGGGCTGCCATCAATTAACAAACAAGGACTCATAGGCTCCTTCGTCCCTGTATACGCAAGCGAGAGCCCGTGGGATCCCAACTTCAGGCTTACTTCAGAGACCAAGAGGATTGCCGAGGTACGTCTTGGTTCGAGTACATCTCGTGGGCCGTCTAACTCCACCAGCATCTAGGTGCTACCGCCTCTTTCTCATGTGCCTGTCTTCTACTGTGTTGGAATGAACTACAAGACACATGCTCGGGAAGCTGGTGTAAGTGATTGGAATACCTAGACTCTGCAGAAAAATCACTAAGAATCGCTAGAAACCGGCTACCAAATACCCGGTCATATTCACCAAGCCTCCAGGCGAGTGAAGCCAGTGTCCGGATCGCACATATTGTAGTCTAACCTTGCTGAACAGATGCCCTTGCTGGACCTTTTGATACCATTCCAATCCACCCAGAATGCCAACAGATGGACTACGAGGTAAGAGCTCACTAGCATCATGGTCAAATGTTGGAACTAACAGCTCGTAGGTGGAACTGACGGTAGTGATCGGAAAAGACTGCAAGAACGTCTCGGAAGATGAAAATCCGTTTGATTACATTCTGGGATACACCGTCGGGAATGATATCTCGTCCAGATGGTGGCAGGTTCCCGAGAGAAGCAATGGCCAGCCAGCCGCGGCAAAATCTTTTGATAAATTCGCGCCACTCGGCCCTGTCATTACGTCCAAAAGGCTCATCCCAGACCCAACACAGTTGCGTGTGAGCACACGTGTCAACGGCGATCAGAGGCAATATTCGGAGACTGATGACTGGATCTTCGATCTTGGCCTACTCATTAGACATCTCAGCCGAGGGACGACGTTGCGCAAAGGGTCCGTCATCATGACAGGCACACCCAGCGGCGTTGGGTACTTTATGAAGCCTCAGACATGGCTCAGGCATGGCGACATTCTCGAAACGGAAATCGACGGCATTGGTACTATGCAGAACCGCATCGCTTTTGAAGCGAACAGTGCTTAAGCAGTGGTCCCAATTGAGTTATTTTTATAGTGGTCCTGTACCCTGCCAGCTCTACAAAGCCGGTACTCTTACCGAGTAATGCGGCGCCGCCTAGTCTTAAAACCAGTTTGTGCCACTATCTTCAGCCACTGAGAGGCTCTTTCACCTCCCGTGGCGCATCCCGGTCTAGGTTTTTCTTCCTGCATGCAAGAAGAAGGGCTGACATTAAGCAACTATGTTTGCATCGGGTTATTATGCTATTGAAGTGAAGAGAAATGTGTTCTTTGTTAATACTGGAGCTTCCTGCTGGGTCAGAAACGCATTACAGATAGTGCCACTATCTTCAACTAATAAGTACCAGGAGAAGGCCTTGTTTGCCTGCTTAGTTCGGCGGCTGGATAGTAGAATCCATCGGTAGCTCAGAGATAGGTCTCATAGAGGCATCTGCAAGGAGCGGAAAATGGAGATGACGCAATACAGGCATTGTCCTCATATAAGCAACTGGAATGACCAACCAAGGAGTGACTGTTGATGTTATGTATATTGGCCCTCGGCGTTCCCACATCTCTCACTCTCTCTCACTCTCTCTCTCTCTCTCGCCTGAGGCCCTATCCGAGTTCCTTCATGCTTCGTTCGGCATGCATCGCACTGTTGCTGTTACTGGGTGGCTTTGTAGAAGGTCCCGCTGTGTACATTTTCCTTCTCCAGCCGTACCATGTCGTCAATGGTCCAATCCTGATGCATGTGGTCCTCGGGGACATTAGTGGACGCGAACGGCGTCCCGTGCTTAAGATGGGACACAACGGCATCCAAATTCTCTCTGGCATAGGCCTCGGCATCGTGGCATTGCAGCCAGGTCGGCTGCGGGAGCTTGAGCAAGTCGGGATTCTTAGCCACCGCCTCCCAGTCGGTAAAGTGCCATCTGTGTCGGGTCTCCCAACCGAGTCTTTGAGTCAGACTGGTGCGTTGGTATCGGAGAGACTCGTATGCCTTGAGGGCCAGTGGTATCTGTCCCTTCCCGAGAAGCTCTAGCAGCGTTGCAATCGTGGCAGCGTCCTCCATAGCTTGAGCGCCGCCGGTTGCAGCAGTAGCGAGGTGCGGATGTGCCGCGTCTCCCAGCAACGCGATACGGCCGTTGTTAGACACCCACGGCCGCACTGGGTCTCTCCAGAGGATTTTGTAGTCGATGAGGTTACCCTCTGGGATGGACCTGACGACCTGTCGGAGAGTCTCATCCCACCCTTCAATACACTCAAGCATGCCCTCCTTGTCCCCCTCCAAGTTCCAACTCTCGGCGATGTCAGCTTTGTCCTGTAAAGCGTCGTCAGTAACGTAACCCCGGTGGGGTACCCCTCTTGTTGCGTACCGTGTGGGTTACAAAGCAAGCCACGTGCTTCAAGTTTATGTTGGTGGTGATGATGCAGTGCGTACCGTCACCGATCCACACTTTGAAACCGGAGGATGTTGCATTGGCAATGGGCTCTGTCAAGGGGTGATGTTTGAGCACGTCCGTTGGAAACCATGCCCTGTAGATGGCAACGCCACTCCTTGTGGCCTTTTGCTCTTGTCCAGATACGGCGGTGCGGGCTTCAGTCCGAACCCCGTCGGCTGCAAGGACAAGGTCGGCGGATATCTTGATGTCTGCGACGAAGACGCCGGCGCCTGTGTCGTCTTCCAAGTACCTGGTAATCTTGGTGCCGAGGTGAATGTCAGCCCCAAGAGATTTGGCATAGTCAAACATCATTTTATGCAGTTTTCCTCGAGACGTAAAGACGGCCGGGTAACCATCAAACTCCATCTCGGTGTGCTGTGTGAGGAGCAGCTTTCCCGTCTTGTTGTAAATCTCGGCGACCTCAAATTGAGATGAGACACCAAGGAAGTCTTCCCAAAAGCCCTTCCATTTGTGAATGATCCGGGTTCCATTCGCACCAACCGAGATGACATCACCTGTCTAGCATTTAGGAGTCTCTCGGGGTGAATTGGGGGATTGGGCCTCTCACCTTGCTTTCTAAAGTTCTCTGAAGCTTCGAACACCACCACCTTTGCACCGCGTTGGCGAAGTTCAATCGCCGCGGCGAGGCCTCCGAATCCGGCGCCCACGATGATGACAGATAGATGTCGAAGAGACATGTTGGGTTTCACCGGTTCCCAGGGTATTGCGGATCCGAGCCGATGATATTGGCAGCCCATCTAAGTATACTTACTATCCTGATATGCGACGGAGCACCTTGTAGCCGACTTGCTTACGGTTGGGGCGAGCGGCTTACTGGAATAGCCGTCTCGGACCCCCAGACCTAATCTTCGGGTCCACGGAATCTACATCCCTATCCACCAGATACGATCCAGCCGAAGGATTACCCACAGTGGAGCAATGGGTGCAAGTGTGTGTCTCTTCCGAACCAAAAGGGATTCTAGCCCTTGGTTTTGCGGGGAGACGCGCGGGTATATCCTGGGGAACCCCGGAGTCCGTACCGCCCACCCCGCTAGCCTCAACACGCTAAGGGTGTGGGTTACTAACTTAGAATGGTGAGGCTGAATGAGCCTTTGAAGTTATGTACACCCAATCTGTACATGCTACAGAATTGCACGGCGAGAGTACAATATAAGTTAGGGTCTGAAGAATTAGTCTCTTCCTGGACACCAAGCCAAGATTGTTCTTTCTACAAGTATCACCCGGAACCCAGCGCCCTGGTAACCCAAACCGCTACGATACAGCAATCCTAGAACTGGCGCCCGGATCATCTCGACTATTCTGCCAGTGTTTCATTACCTTCGCTTGAGGAGTACAAGAGAAGGCTCAACGAGACCAACTCAAACATCCCAACCAACTACCCACCGGCCCAGTCGACAACTCCATACCTGAAGCACCATGCACAAATCAGAAGCGGGTTCAGGCGGAGCAGAGACTAGCCCCCCTGTACAGGAGGAGGAACAGATCCTCGCGCTGATCGGCTCCCGAGCCCCTGAGGATGTACGAGCTGCTGCGGCAGACGCTCTCATCACTACGGACGTCCAATTTGACCGGCGCATGATCCTGCCAACCGTCGTGAGTGCCGTGTCTCTAGACTGAGACGGATCGTTTCTGACCTCAGCAGGCTTTGACTTTCACGTACCTCGCGCAGCAGATGATTCTCATCACCTATGGACCCATCCTGGGATACATCGATGCCGACGTCGGTGAGCTGAGCATGGCCTACCGGCTTTGTGAACGAGATACTAAGTACTGTGACCAGGGCATTTCAAAACCTACACGTGGATGGCTGCGTCTTGGAGCATGACCTGTGCCATCTTCCTCCCCATTGCAGGTATGCCGACCATGTTAGCGTCCAGCACCACCATCACTCGGGGCTGACAACCTAGCAACAGGTCCTCTCGGTGACATCCTAGGACGGCGATACTTCTTCATTGCCGGAAACGCCATCGGAATCATCGCCGGTATATTGGCAGCGACTGCGCAATCCGTGCAAGTTGTCATCGCTGGAACCACCATGTCTGGCATGGCAGCAGCCTTTCAACAACTTGCCATCGCGGCGGCGTCCGAGATCTACCCGAATAAGTACAGAGGCTTTGTGCAAGGTAGGGCTTGTCCCATTGTCCCATTTCTAACTTGTGGCAGGGCTAACAGGATTGGTAGCCCTGCTGGAGAACGTTCCCATTGCATTCAATGCGGCGGGTTCCTTGATCGCTCACAGGCTGGTCGAGACGAGAGGCTGGCGATACGTATTCTATATTTATATCGCAATCTGCGGGTGTGCCATGATTTCTACGGCCCTCTTTTACCACCCGGTATGCTCTCAAGTTCGCTTTCTCGCAGTTCTTTCTGGCTAACTCCCGCTTCAGCCTCTGCCACATAAGGAGCAGACCCGCCTACAACTGGCAAAGAACATTGACTGGGTCGGCGCTGGAATTTGGATGGTGAGAACATTAAACGATGTATTGGTTTCCTAGCTGACTTTTCAGGCTGGTCTGACAAGCTTCCTGCTGGGCATCTCCTGGGCTGGGGGTCAATTCGCCTGGAAATCCGTGGCAGTCATTCTTCCAATGATTCTGGGTGTTTTTTTCCTCATAGGACTTGGTTTCTGGGGTAAGTCATGTCAAATGTCAAGTTAGCATGCGCACTGCAACAAGCTGACTAATGACGATGCAGAGGTGCTTGTTTCCAAGAGTACCAAGAATCCCATCTTTCCGCCTCATATCTTTAAGAATGTCCGAGGGTAAGATGAAAGCCCTTCCCCTCACCCCAGGCCAGGCTGACTCCCCATGCAGATTCACAAACCTACTCGTCACGGTCATGATCCTGTCTATGCCGCTGTATGCCATGGCCAGTATCTGGCCGGCAGAAATCGGGGCCGTCTTTACTTCTGACCCCATCAAGATTGGTGTATATGGTCTTCCATGGGGTATCGGTTCCTCCTTCGGCTCCTTGATCACAGGTCTCTTGTTGCATTATGTCCCCAGGGTGAACTGGCTTTTCACGGCGCTAGTTGCCCTTCAGACCATCTTCATATCCCTACTAGCAACCATCACTCCCAGCTCGATCAAGCCGGCTCTTGCATTCAGCTTCCTTGGCGGTGCCGCAAACCTGGGCGCGCAGTTAACAGGCATTGTCATGGTGCAGTTCTCCACAGGTGATAAAAACATCGGCCTTGCTACCGGTCTTCTTGCCTGCGCTCGGTCTGTGGGCGGTGCCATTGCCAGTACGGCTTCTAAGCTTGCATCAAGCGGCTATCACTGACATTGTTGTGCAGTCTCTATCTACAATACCATCGTTCAGTCCAGGATGCAGATTGAGTGGCCCAGGCGACTCGCAGAGGCGACTTTTCCGTTGGGGCTGCCGGAAAGCTCTCTTCCCCTGCTGTTAGAAGCCCTTGCCTCTGGTAATCAGACGGCCATTGCCTCCGTCCCGGGCGCGAATCCAGAGATCCTTGCCGCTGCCACAGAGGCAACACGGTACTCGTTCGCCGCGAGTTTTAGGTGCGTAACGGTACAAACTTGTCGCTGGCTTACTGCTGACATGGACCACAGGGTGGTTTTCTACCTTGTTGCTGGGCTGGGCAGTCTTGCAGTCCTGCTTGCTGCAACCACTCGCGATATCAGCCAATTCATGACGCACCACGTTGCCGTCGACTTGAACGAAGGTAAGCACCCGCGCGCAGCCGGCAAGGTTGCTGGACAGGTCGAACATGTCGAGCACAAGGAGTCCTAGGTGTGGCGTTGGGAGGACAACCAGAGGCGTGCGCCTCAACATCACGTTCGTGAATGGCCGCTGTGAGCAAAGATAGTTTTGTAATGTCTCGTTATTTCGTCTCTTTAGCATATTAATACGACTTACATGAGCAACTGTAATAGGGGTTACGTCCAGGTTCGTGGGCGGCACTTCTTCTAAGTTGGCTGTCCGCTCCATCAAGGGCGAGTTGCTGCTATCACGAAATCCCAACAAAAAAAAACAGTTTTCTTCACATTTTAAGCATTTTTTAAAACCCAACGCTCTCACAGTTGCCTAAGATCAAGCTTTTCCAGCTCACGCGAGTTAAGAAGGTTAAATCTTGATGAATATAATGCTGGCCGGCCTAATTCTCTTCCCTCCATCACCACAATGCCAACCGTTCGTGGGCGGTATATTAGATTAAAAGCACCCCCGTCAAGCCACCCATGCATATCAAGGCGAATGTCAGCCGTCGGTAGTACGAATACAATGAATGCGTTCAAAAGGCAATTAGAGGCAAGGTTATAGATTCCACCCGGCGGAGAATATACATGAGCTTTCATTTTATCGCAAGGATGGTGCCGACTTCTGGGCCTGAAAAGAGCAGACAATATCCTACTTATCATGCTAACTGAGACCAGCCATTTTTTACATCAAGAATCCAGTTGCGTGACTGCAATGTTATTGTGGTCGAGTGTGGCCTGTTCTCAAAGGACGGCTACAGCAGCAAACAACACAGAATCTACACACAAGAGGTATTGTACAGAGATTTAAACCTTCGCAAGATAAAAATCGTGGCTTAAATTCCCCCAGCCATGGAGTATCCCCAATCATGAGGCACATATCTCCTATCAACCCACGACTCAAGGAATGTCTAGCCTCATCACAAGTCCGTCGACGTCAAGAAGGTGCTCCAGTCCTCACTCCAGATGTTAAACCCAGCGGGAAACAATCCAACCTACACATGGTTATTAGCCCTGAAATGCCAATCTAAGCGAACCTTTTTCACCTCAAAATGTGTCGTCTCCCCCATATCCGCTGACGCCCCTGATAAATCGGACGGCGGCGGCGGTCCGATGTCGATAGGGGCGGGACACTTCTCTCGAGAACGGCGGACAGCAACCTGGGCCAAGTTGGGCAGGTCCCTTGTAAGCGGGAACGAAAATTCGGGAATGGTGAATTCCAGATAGCTGAAATGGCCCGCCGCAATCCGCATAAGCACAATATCGGATTCGACAGAAGATTCCTGGGGGTTCTGTAAAACGTGGATAAAGACGTCTATCAACGCCGTCAAGGGGAAGAAGAAGGCAAGCCTGATTTATATTTTAAAGCATTAGTTTTGGATAACCGGTTAATCACCACAGTGGCGAGATGAGGCTCACCATTTGGGCGTCGATGGCATGATTGTTATGCCGCCAAGTTGCTGAAGGATTTGCCGTGCTGACTCGACACATTTGCGGCTACTTTCTGCTATGTTGGTTTGAAGCTGGGTCTGCTCTGCGGCATTCAAGCCGAGTTTTGCTATGTTCCAGGGATACACGAGTATCGAGTGCACTTGTATCACGCTTATGTGGTAGGAAAACACCAGGAACAAGACATCGTTGATGGTTATTCCGGCTGGAATATTGGTGCAGGGCGACGAATCTCCCGGGGACACATAGGAAGGGAACGAAGCTCGTAGATCTGCAAGTAACTGTTTGAGCTCGCCCATGGTGTTAGCGATCTCCTCGACAGACGGCTTCCTATGGTCGAACTTGTTTAGCCTTCTCAGGATGGCCGACGACAACTGTGCCGTACGGATACCACAGAGCATAGCTTCGTACTGCGCCGGGTTTTCGGGGGACAAATTTCGCGGTAATTGAACGGTGATGGAGTCGTCGTCAGTTCCCTTTCTTGTAAATCAGCCAGGGGCCCTAGTCATCGTGTTGGGTTGATTACGCACCAATGGCCTCCCAAGACGAACAGCCGAATATCTATCGTAGCAGTAGATCCCCCACCAGGTACAGCTCCGCGAGTATATCTCCGCATCATGCAAATTCGCGGACAAAGGCGGCTGTCGGTGCAACCCCTTGGTCTCGGCTAGCCGCATTGCGCTAGAGCACAGCATGTAGTTTAGGGACGGCCAGCTCACGCCCTCGGTGTAATGTGTCTATATTTAGTATATGAATTAGCGAAGCCCTCCCGTTGCAGTGGTGACATGGATATACCGACCATAACTGCGAGCGCTTGCACTGCCAACCTGCTCGTGCCGAGAAAGAGCAGGTCACTGTGCATTGAGAGAGCGTTTTGGAAGTAGCGGTTCCCCAGTTCAATGGCGTCGCTGAAGGCCCGAGGCTTGCTCTGCTTTGCTAGGAGCTGCCGGGCACCGTAGGCGTAGATGGTATTGCGGAGAGCGTACCAGGCTGGATCATCCATCGTGCCGGGTCCAGGACTGCTGCTGCTGCTGTTGTTGTTGTTGAAATGGAGGCGCAGCTTGTCTTGGAACCACGAACGTGACACCACACCCAGGACTACGTCGCTTGTGTCCTCAAAATAAGACTGGGTGTAGAGCCATGCAGTAGTTTCGTTGGGCTCCGGCTCTCTGAGCGGACAGGCTCTGCTCTGACACCTAAAGCAGTGGCCTACGTCGGCCATTAATCTCGTTGCTAATTGATCAAAGTCAGGGACCCCTGTTTTCAGGGTAACCCATTCGATGCCCGATTTGGAGCAGAAAGACAGGAAGGATCCAGGACCTGCGTTGCTTGTCAGTGGCTGTTGCGGCAGATGAAAGCGGCTACCAGACCGTGATATTCATAGGTAGACTAGATAGAGTTGACATCAGCATCTAGGCCACCAAGCATCTTTTTCTGTCGGCTATGTACCCACTTCTTCTGGAGATATAGACACAACATAGTCATGGTCCCCCATGAAGCTACTGGCGGTGGCCTCGGATCCTGGGTGGACGATATCATGACCCGGGCTTTTGAACGAGTCGAGACTTTGTCTCAACGACTGTGGAAACACTGTTACTAATGGAGGGGTGAGAGTGTCGACCCCGGCCAGTTCTGTGCAGATTTGCTCCCATAAGTGCGAATCGTTGGAGCCCCTAGAGGAATTCTTAATGGCTACCGCTTGTGGAAGTGGCGGCTGGCTGTCGTTGGTTGGAGACGATTTATCAGTATTGGATGGCTCTGATGCTGGAGCAGAGGGTTGCCGTGATCGTGGTTGCTGTGGTAGTGGCTGCGGTTCTGGTTGAGACTGGAGCTGCATGGCCTCAATCCTCGACAATCGCTGTCGCAAGCCTTCCAATGCCGCGGTAGAGATGTTGTCGGCAGTCCGTCGCCGCCTCTGCGGCTCATAAACACAGTCATTGTGATGGTCCTGGCAGGATACAATACAAGCGTCAGTGAAGGTCGCTTTGGGGACAAGAAGGTGGCCCGTCCCGTCGTTGGCCGAGGCCTCACCACACAGTTTGGACAAGGCTGGCCGCCATTGCCTGCCCGTTTACCCCAATGTCAGTCAATCCCGCGGCATCACAGTGGCACACTCACACTTGACCTTTCGCAGCCGGCAGTGGACACAGGCAACGGAACATTTCGAGCGGCGGCGGCGGGATGCCGGCTTCGACATGGCGGGCGCAGAGATGGTGGCGCTGTTTTCCTGCACAATTGCAAGCGACATGGTGAGTGATGAGTGACCCTAAATCGCAGACAGGAACAACCGAGGTTTTTGCTTGCACCACGACGGTGGAAGGGGGAGGCCCAGATGACAGCTTAAGTAGCCATCTTTCGGCATCCCCGGGGGGGGGGGACAAGTCGGCACCTAAGCTACCCACTAGCCGCCTGCTACTGTAGGTAGGTAGCTAGCGACCTTTGGTGCTTCTGTGCCCTGGAGCGGGGTAAGGTCCACCCACCTACAGGGCCCCTCCACCTAGTCTACCCACTAGACCCGGGGTAAGCCTAGCATGATGCGGGGGGTTAGGGGTTAGGGTAGATCGTGGGGAACTGTACGGACTGCAGGACTAAGAAAATTCCGAGAACCAGATTAACTCCATGACGATATAGATATAGTCAATCATATGATTGAGGGCAGCTACGATTGCAAGCATTGGCTGGCAATTTTTTTTAATTTTTTTATTTTTTTTGGGGGGGGTTTCTTGGACCTAGCTTGTTTAAATAATATTTGACCTAGCTAGCTGCGAGGGCAAGCTCCAATCCAATACCGGGTGGTACCTTGGATCACATCACCGTCACGGGCACTTTTGAAACAAAAACAATCTTCAGAATATCGCAATGGCATTCGGGGGTGATGCCACTGCCCCGGCAACATTCAGCGGGCTCGATGTCAGCAGAAATGTATACCGCCCATGCAAAGTACAATACTTGGACAGGGCTTCAAGATCCCAGAGCTCACCAATCGGCAGCCCAAATAGCCCCAAGAAGGTTTGATGAAGCACTGCGATAGTGTCAGACATGCCTCTCGATTTGACACGCTCGGCCGGTGAGAAAGAAACAAAACAACACCTACACATGTCTTGGGGGGAGCCCTCGTTTTGTCCATTGACGAGCGGCGGGAGAACCTCAAAGCCTGCATTGTCCGCGGCCACGGCGGCAAAGTGCTTGTTCCAGAACCACTCCACCGTCTCGAGGCTCTGGGCTACCCCAACGCTTCTCTGCGTACCCAGCATCTCCTGCTGTTCTTCGTCAGTCGCCCCGCCCAGTGCTGTAGTGAAGCCTGTCCGGATTATAATGACGTCGCCCTGTCGGAAGCTGACACGCTGCTCTTGCGCGATGGCCTCGATGTCGGCAACTGTGATCGCCCGAGATTCAAAGGGTGAGTACTCAATCTTGTGCCTTTCCGCGTATAGCTTGTAGTCAATCAAGACTCCTCGAGCCACCAGACAGCCCCTTGAGTGCCAGTCTAACCAAGACAATGTCAGAAGACTAAAAGATTTACGTTTTTGCATATAGGGTCACGGGCAGCTCACGGTTGATGGTGGGAAACTTCTGTTCCGTGTCCTCATCGCCAAAGCTCTGGACAAGGTCGTCGGCAGAAGGCCTCACCCCGTTGTAGCCACAGCGCTGGCCCTGGTAATGGAAATGGCAGAGGCTGTCCCACTGGCTGCTGGACTGCGTGTTGAATTCGATCTGTCGTTTGATGAGCACCGCGTAGTCAATCAAACCCATCATATGGCATACTGACCTCGTCATCAAATCCATGAACACTCATCGGGGTATCTAGAAACGACGTGACCTTGTGCACCAATCCCTTGCGGAACAGGGCTGGACGTTTTATGGCGCCCATCGGCCAGCTACGGAATCGTCAGTTGCGTGCAGTACAAGCCGCCTAGAAGACCGATTGACTTGAGCGAGATGCTAACGCCGTCCTTCACCTCGGAGGCGGCATGCACAATCACATCCGGAGTGATCTTGTTGAGACAGCCATAGACGTCTTTCTTGGCGCCTTTGTTGAATACGGCCCATGCACACCCCTGTGGCATTTCCGGGACGGGTGGGAGGGCATCGTATCGAGGGAATTGAGAATTCATTGCAAAGTACGTTGGTCGTTTGATGGCTACGTGCGCAGACGTACTTAATTCAACCCGATGAGAAGCGACACCAGTTGGCATCTCGTATCCGGCTATTGGGTATTCCCTAGACCTTAAATAGCCCTCTCGGTAGCCCACAGCACTCCTTACGCATTCACTCGGCCCGAACTCGCAGCAGCAGCAGCAGCAGGGCCACTTGTTGGGAGCATTCAAGCATGGATCAAACTCTAGCCCGCCTGCGTGTGCAGCATATCATGATATCTTGCTCTATGACTAGGCCGGCGTCGTCAATTACTTTGCGCTGCATAGCCTATCTAGGAAGATCCTTGAAATCAATCTCGAGGAAATACTGAGTATGCCCGCTCTCATTCCACACCTCGTGGGTCTTTCCAGCAGGTACTAAGACGTGATTCATCCTCTCCGACTCGAGTACCACAGTCTCCCCGTTCTCGATGGATCTGGACGGACCGTCATTGAACATGACGACCAAGTGTGGGTATTCATGGGTGTGAACGCCGCCGCCCTCACCGTCCTCGTACTTGAAATACGTGACCCTAGTCACTTCATTGTCCACCAGAATCTTCTTGATTCCTGGGCCTCGGACTTCAGGATACTTGCGCGGCGCAGGAGTGGACTCTGTAAAACCGTCTGGTTACCGTCGATATTTCGCGACTCGAATGGCAGCCGGGTGTGAGTCTCAACTAACCTGAGTGAGGAGTAGAAGCCATTGCGATGATGATGCTCGGGCTTTGGTCTTTCCTGTCTCTTCTCTTCTTTTCCTTTCTGTCCCTGCCACTTCTTTTCCGTTCTTGATCGGCCGCTATCTTTATCTTGCTCAGTTCTTTTGAAATCTCCCCTATTGAGGCAGGCCGGTTGGTGACCAGCACCGAAGCGGGGGAAATCCACCTTTCCAGGCGGAGTGGATCACTCGGAAAGGATAGCGCCCCGTCTCCGAATCTTTTGGGAATAGCGCCTGCGGTCGCTCAGATATCATTTCCCCGGCCTCGGGAGTTCCTACGAGGCCGAGTAAAGACGTTCGGTCGTCTTTTTTTTTTTAGGGGGGAGGGGTGGCTGGATTGATAATCGTTGCTGGACAATTGTAACCAGGACTCGGCACGTCCGCACAAAAGCCTTCAACTTCAATATCTCATGACATGGTTCTCCGCTCCTTGCTATAGTATATCTAAACGCATGATAACACGCACATTTTTACCTACGTCTGTAACCGTAGCCATGGCCTTCAAGATCCAACAACCCGTGGGGCGGCCTCTGACCGGAGGCGACCTCCTAGCCCAATCGCTGAAAGCACTGGGCGTTGACGTCTCCTTTGGTCTCGGAGGCGGCCATCTAGACGGCTTCTTGCTTGGATGCGAGCACGCTAGCATACGGCTAATTGACACGCGGCATGAAACCGCTGCTATTCAGGCAGCAGAGGGATACGCTCGCACCACGGGCAAAGTAGGCTCTTGTTTTGTCACAGCAAACAGCGGGTACGTCGAGAACGAGGCGGCCCCCCTTCATACCGCAGAGATTGACACTTCGAGGAACAGCTTCCTAAATGGCCTGCCGGGCCTTGGCACAGCCCTCGCGGACAGGAACCCGATCTGCTGCATCACTAGTTCGCAGCCTCCAAAGGATGTGGATAGCAATGGTCTCCAGGGTTTCCACGATCAAATAGTCGTGGCAAAGACTCTCGCCAAGTTTGTGCACCGCATCACCGACAACGAGGAAATTCCGCGCGTTGTTGCATACGCCTTTCGACAAGCCACGGTCGGGGCGCCAGGTACGGGACGGGATCATGGACACACATACATGATGACTGTTTAGTTCTCGCAATACTGACGGCTCACAGGCCCAGTCGTGATTGACCTTCCCGTCTCCCTCATGTTTGCGCCAGTGAATGTGGATGCCATCCAGCTTGGTGCTATCAACAGCCCAATGCCTGCTCCTCCAGCCCCGGATAAAAACGCCATCATCACGGCTGCAGCTCTCTGGAGGTCCGCAGAACGCCCCATCATAATCACAGGCTCAAAATCGAGTTCCCCCCGGGTATGTCTGTGGACAATCGTATGTTTGTCCTAGCCTTTTGCTAACTTCGCATGCCGTAGAGCGCAGAACTGTTATCCAGCATAGCCGAGATAACCAACACGCCTGTCTTTCACACCACTTCTTACGGACCATCTATCCCCGTCGGTCATCCCCTTCAAGCGGGATTCGCCAATCGCTTGGCCCTGTTGTTGAAAAATGAAGAGCCGCGCCCGGACTTGGTCATCCTCATCGGCACACGCACCGGCACCTTTCTAGGAGGCCGTGGCGGCCGCATCATCCCAAAGGAAGGCTGCAAGGTGGTGCATGTCGAAGCTGATGGAAGTGAGCTCGGAAAGATTTGTCATGTGGACGTCAGTATCACGTCGTCACCCGAGCAGGCACTCGAGGCTTTTAAGAGCGAGATCGAGAAGGGCCAGTGGAAGGCGTCAAAGGCTTGGGCCACTAGACTCGGGGAACTCAAGGACGCTTATTCGTTTTACGAAAAAGATCCCGAGACCAATGCGGCAGGCCAACTTCACCCTTACCACGCCTTGAAGCAGGCCTTTAGCGCCTTGAAGCACGGCGCAATCATTTGCGCAGATGGCGGCGAGTCGTCTTTCTGGGCCCTCGATATGGCACAGTATGCCACGCCGTCAGCCGTCATGTACACCTGCGGCTATCTTGGCTTCCTGGGAAACGGCTGGGGATACGCCCTGGGGGCAGCAGTAGGCAACCCTACTCGCCAGGTCATCAACGTCCAGGGCGACGGCTCGGCCGGCTTTCACATTGCCGAGCTAGACACGTATGCACGATTCGACTTGAATATTCTCACCATCATCATGAACAACCACGTGTGGGGGATGTCGTTGCACGCCCAGGATATACTCTTTGCAGACCGCATCAAGGCAAGGCCAGCGGCGCTGCTAAGCAGTGGTACTGCGTATGAAGTCGTAGCTCAAGGCTTTGAGAACGCAAGCGCAAAGGTCACCACAATGGACGAGATTGACAGCACAGTAAGGGAATTGTCAGCCGACCCCCGCCCTGCCTGTATCAACATGATCGTGTCGGGTGCGCCAACACATCACGGGCTAGAAGCGTTGGTCATGTCCAACCTGGAGCCTAACACTGTTCGTATCCCGTACTTTGCTCTGTAATTAGTATTTCTAGTTGAGTAAGGTGTGAATATGAACCTTGAAGCACTTTGACATCAATCTTGACCCGCTATCCAGCAGATGTGACTTAGCACAAGATATGAAGCTTAGTTATTTTGCTACGGTAATCATTTTTTTTAACCAATTGAATGCTGCAATAGAGGATGTTTGAAGCCATTGTCGCTGGTGCAGCTGACGATCAACGTGCTAAAATAGCCTTGAAGAAGGCAGCTTTCACGTAGACAGCAACAGCAATACATATTCAACTCGCGAGGGAGTGGGCACAGGGTAAGTAACAGGATGAACATCTACATCTAACACGGCGCAAGTTCTGGGGCCAAATCAAGACAGGATTGACATGCGAGTTTTCTGCCTGGCCCGAATTCAAAGGGCTGGCACTGTATGACCAATCGGCTGACTCGGGACCAAAGTAGCATCTCCGAGCTTTTATGGCGATCAGAAGCATCATCCGAGCCAAGCCTATGCGGCACCGTCAAAGCCCGGCATCCCGAGCAGTAGTTGACTCCACCAACCAACCCTCCAGAGTCTGGTCAGTCGCTCGACGATGGCCGTTGACCCAAAACCCGATCTTATAACTTATTTACACCATGGGTTGTTGATCTGGGAAGTAGTGAAAACGCAACCCCAAGCACACTAGATCCCATCGTCCATCGCGGATCAGCACTTGCACATCCTGGACTGCAGAGATACCGCTTCGGAGTTGATGCCATGGCCGATAAGACGGATTTCAAAGACGTCCCGGTGATCATCATCGGCGGTGGTGCTTGTGGCTTGACCCTTTCTATCTTTCTATCCAACTATGGCGTCCCGCATGTTTTGTTTGAACGACATGAGACGACATCGTATCTGCCCAAGGTTGGGAGAAACAATAGCCTCCTAGGTCCTTTTTCGGTGAGCTAAGGATTGCGAATAGGCGCACTACATCAACCAGCGAACCATGGAGATCTACAGACAGCATGGGGTTTCCGATGACATCTACAAGGAGGCGTCACCTCAGCAAAAAATGTGTCAGATGCTCTGGCAAAGTTCACTAGGCGGGAACGGTCCGTTAGACAGAAAGGTAATTGCCAGTCTTGAATGTTTTGGAGGATACAAGGGCTCCGAGATGCACGCAACTTACAAGTACGTGTCCCCCGAATATTCTAGAGAATGATGGATGGGTGTGCGATTAACAAGCCAAGGACGCAATCCCCTACCTTGCCGTGCAATCTCCCGTTGATACGAACAGAGCCGATCCTGCGCAGAATTGCTCAAGAACGCAACCCAGGCAACATCCTCTTCGGTCACACCGTCACAGAGATCCACGACGACAACCAAAAAGTTCTTGTAACTGTTGAAGGCTCAGGCGGCTCGACAAGCCGCTACCGCGGTGACTACGTTGTTGGTGCAGACGGCGGCAAGACGGTTGGACCGCACATTGGAGCAGCCATGGAAGGACTCACTCGCCTCGAGGACAAGGTCTCGGTACACTTCCGGGCAGATCTGTCCGAGTATTGGGATGGTGAGTACCACTTGATGGAAACCGCAACTTGCTCGTCCTTTTGCTCACTGCAAGCGGCAGATCGCACATTGATTTGCCACTTCATCAACCCCGAAGGTGGAACGATTACGTACAGTGGCGCGCTGGTTGTCACTGGTCCATCGTGGGGACGACACTCGGAAGAATGGTCAATCCATTTTGGCCACCGCATTGACGACCCGGAGCGTTTCAATGAAGACAACCTGGTGCCGCGGTTGCGATCTTTGCTGAAGATGCCCGACCTGCAGGTAGAGATCCTTCATATCAGTCACTGGATCCAGGAACGCGTGCTGGCAAGCAAATATCAGGGGGGCAGACTGTTCCTCGCCGGCGACGCGGCCCATCGGCATCCTCCTACAACCGGCCTAGGGCTCAACACTGCTGTGACAGACGCCAGCAATCTTGCATGGAAGCTTGCATTCGTGCACAGAGGTTGGGCAAGTCCTGAAATCCTAAACACGTATGAGAGTGAGCGAAGACCTGTCGGTAGGAGAAACTGCGATTGGGTAAGTGTTCCTCCCACCTAAATCCAACGGCTCCGACTGATTGATCTTGTCAAGGCTGCCTTTACTTCTGGCAATAGAAAAGTTCTCAACGCCGCTATTGGCTTGGTTCCCGGAGAGCTCGAGGCCAACCAGGAAAGATTCAAGCGACTGTTTGAAGATTCCGAGATCGGAAGAGCCTCCAGAGCTCAGGTTCAGCGTATCATTGACAGTCAAGCCATCGAATTCTCGGCTTCTGGCCTCGAGCTGGGGTATCTATACGAGCATGGGCTTACCCTGAGTGACGGGAGCCCACCACCAGAGACAGACCCTCTGGGTCAGCGTTACATACCAACAACAAGACCTGGCCATCGCCTGCCGCACGTCTGGCTAGTAAGCCAAGGCAGGACTCTCTCCACACATGACTTGGTGGGCAAACAGGGCAAATTCTGCTTGATTACAGATGAATACGGAAGAGACTGGATTTCTGCCGTCGAAACTCTGAAGGGCTCCCTTGATATCGACGGCGTACAGATTGAAGTCGACAATGAGGCTGGTTCTTCCGGGTACAAGGACACGGACGGTAGTTGGAGAAGTGTTCGTGGTATCGAGAATGGAGGAGCCATCTTAACGAGGCCAGACAACTTTGTCGTTTGGCGATCGATAAAGCCCAGTGTCCAAAGGGGTAAGGAACTGGTAGACGCAGTTCGGGTCATTCTAGGCCCACGCTAACAGTGAGAAGACTGAATTGGAATTGAGAAACGACCTTTCAATACATATGTATATACTAATTCTTTATTGGAATCTATCAAAACCAGAAGCTTAGATCCGGATGACCAAGTTGCAACGTATGAGAGCTAGCCCATATACTGAGCCATAAACACTTGTGGCCATTTGTGACCGTCATCACCCTGCATCTCCTGGCAAAGACGAAACTTGCTTCAAGAATTCATAATCCAACATCTTGGGACGGTAGCAACCTGGAACCTCTCTAAGCATAGTGTGCGTGGCAGGAACTTGATTTGACTAAAGTCTCGCACTCGTTTTCTAGCTTGTGCGATCAGCCGTTCCCAAGGCCTCCGCGAGCACCCGAGCGAGTAGGACACTCCGGGCTGACTACCGTGTTTGAAAACCCCCTAGCGTTATAGGGTCGGAATTGTTCCCAGACCTATGACCATGATGCAGGTTGTCGGAGCAAAGGAACAATGCCCGCTTGTAGACATGCGGTCCAGTTCCCCATCTAGTCGGTAAATGCTATCCGTCTCCGAGGAGGAAACCGTCGCAACAGCACGCCCGCGTTTAGAAAATGCCAGACAGCACAACAATCTCTAGATCTAATCATCAAAATCTCGACTACATAGGGAGAATTCCGAGATAATAACAGCTACCTTTCCCATAATTCCTTACAGCACAATCTCAACACAAGTTTCCAAGTTTCATCGCAGCCAAACAAGACAAAAATGTCCGAACAACCGGAGAAAGTCGCTCTTGTGACGGGAGCCAATGGAATAACCGGCGCCTACGTCCTCGCCCAACTCGTGTCGGAGCCTCACTGGACTCGAATCATTGCGACATCAAGACGCAAGCCACGGTTTCTGCCCAATGACACTCGCATCGAATTTGCCCAGGCCGACTTGAACGTTGACGTCGAACAAGTCGAGGCGCGGCTCAAAGAGGCCAAAGCTACAGGTGTAACTCACTTCTTTCATATGGCCTACGTGCATCATGCGGCCTTTGACAAGCAATTCGAGTACAATGTACCCTTCTTTCAAAACATCCTCTACGTAGTGGACAAGCTCAACCGAGACACTTTGGAAAGGGTGATCCTTCAGACTGGCGGCAAGCATTACGGTTCCTTCTCCAAGAAAGCACCAGAAAGGTTGATCACAGAGGATCTCGGCCGTGTCAAGGATCTTGGTCGCCCTAATTTCTACTACGCCCAGGAGGATTGCATGTTCGAGATCCAAAAAGGGAAGAAATGGACGTGGACCGTAACCAGACCCTTTATGATCAATGGATTCAGCTACGGTGAGCCATCTCAACTGTTTGCCTTCAAGCTTCAACAATACATGGACTTGAACCGTCATGTTTTGCTAATGCACCATGTTCAACACTCCAGGCAGCGGTCAGTCATTTGCAACTACTGCCGCGCTCTACTTCACGATCCAAAAGTATCTTGGAGAGGAGGCGGTCTTCTCCCTGCCGGAGGAAGGTGACGAGACCAGCTACAACAAACGATGGGATGCATCTTCCGCGTCCAACATCGCAGCTTTCACTACATTTGCGGCTTGCCATCCTGGTGCCGCGGGCCAGGCATACAATATTGTTGATAACGATCCCAACGAGATTACCTTTGGAGATATCTGGCGGTATATCGGAGAGTACTTTGAAGTCCCGGTAACCACCAAGAAGGGGCACAACGCCGAGCACGACGTCCAGGCAAAACTGGACCGCGGAGTGTGGAAAGACATCGTCAAAAAATACGGGGGGGACCCTGATGCCTGCGCCAACTACGGGACTTGGTGGTTCTTCCAATTCCAGATGGCGATTACCTTCAAAACTCATGTGAGCATGGACAAGGCTCGTCGTGAGCTCGGATGGACCACTCAATGCGATACAAGAAAGGAGCTTGGCAAGATCTTCAAGTCTATGGAGGAGGCCGGAATTATCCCAAACATCCCGTAGCGCCTTATGGCATGCCGCAACTGACTAAACTACACTTGTATTCTCATTGAATTCTCATTGCTGAACCTTCAAAGGCTGCCACGCCTAAATTGGACTGCTGTAATATCGCGCCACCTACCGGATCTGCTAGTGGGTTTGGCCTTTTTCGTTCGGCATGGCCTTTCCGGCAAGGGCCGAGATCGCCGAGGAGAACCAAAAGTTCAGCGGTAGCCCTTTGCACATCTCCTACGCAGTGCCCCGGTCAACTTTGGCATTATTAACATGAAGCTATATGATCACCGAAAGATCTGATCTGTAGAAAGGGCCCCAATTATAGACAATGTCGAAAATGGCTGCGCAAAGGTTGGATTCCATCGTGTCTCAGATGCAGCCAGAGCAGGGGAGAGTCAACGCGATGTGAGCTTCGCTTTCTCTGCCAAGAAGACCATCGCTAATTCAAACTATCAAAAGTACCAGCAAAAATCATGACGACATTGTGATTACAGTCGCAGTCAGGACAGCCATTACGAAAGGGTACAAAGGCGTTTTCAAGGACACAGCTCTGGAATCGCTAATCTACAAAACCTTGGAGCAAGTCCGTCAGAGAAGCAACATCGACCCTGCATTTGTTGAGGACATCTGCCTGGCTAATGTAAGAATCGATATTGTCCTCCACTCTTGGGCCGCAAGCGGTTACTAACAATATTAGGTCAGAGACGGTCGAGCATCGACTAAGCTGAGGGCCGGTGCTCTCCGAGCTGGATTTCCACACACGACCAACTCGTCCAGCGTGAACAGGTTTTGTGCAAGCGGCCTCAAAGCAATACAAGATATCTCGAATCAGATCCGGGCCGGCGAGATCCAGATAGGAATTGCGATTGGTGCTGAGAACATGACCCAAGGAGGAAAATACCTTGACGAAACACTTGCCCTCGACGTTCTGACCAACCCCGAGGCTGCCGACGTCATGCTTCCTATGATACAGACCTCGGAAATCCTCAGCAATGAGTTCAAGATCAGTCGCTTACAGCAGGACGAATATGCCGTGGAAAGTTTTCGACGGGCCGAAGTGTCTCAGAAGAATGGCTGGTTTGCAGATGAGATCGTGCCCATCACTTGCACCGCGAGAGATCCCGAAACCGGGAGGATACAAAACATTACCGTCACCAAGGATGAAGGCCTGAGGTATGGCACTACATTGGAGGAGCTATCTCGAGTCAGACCTGCGGCACCCGAACTTGGTGATAAGACCACTGGTGGAAATGCCAGTCAAATCAGCGACGGTGGTACGTACTTGGATATCATTGTAGCGATTTACCTTCTAATGAGAGTCACTCCTCTAGCTGCCGCAGTCCTTTTGATGAAAAGGTCTAGAGCTTCTGAGCTTGGTCTCCCAGTCCTAGCTAAGTTCTGCGGTGCCGCTGTTGCAGGAGTACCTCCGCGTGTCATGGGGGCCGGTCCGGTATATGCCATCCCTAAACTCCTGGGCAAGTTTAACCTAGACAAAGATGACATCGATATCTTTGAAATTAACGAGGCATTCGCATCCATGAGCGTTTACTGTTTGCGGGAACTAGGACTGCATCATTCCAAGGTCAACCCCAGGGGTGGAGCGATAGCGTGAGTTTTCTCCCAACAGTCCGTCCGCTGAGGCACACACCATGATGCTCGGCTCTCTTCATACCCATTTTTGCGTGTCTTGGGATAAAACTGTCCCTTCACAGCCCGCCGCTACCATTGTCCCGATACTGACGAGGTTCTCAACAAATTTAGACTTGGGCATCCTGTAGGAGCAACTGGTGTTAGACAAGTTTGCACAATACTCAGCGAGGCAAGGAGGGCCAAGAAGCAAATTTTGGTCACTTCCATGTGTGTGAGTGCCTGGTCCAATTTGGTCGATGACAATAAAGAAATTATTCAGGCTAACCCCCAGACAGACTGGAACTGGACAAGGCATGGCAGGGCTGTTTGTTAACGAGCAGTTGTAGTGCCTTGAGTTGTGCCTAAATGAAATCCAGGTTGGTTGGGAGCTCGAGCATCTTGAACCATTGGAAACCATAGCCTTACCTAAGTATTTCTAGCACCTTTCTAAGATCTTTCTAAAGTAATCTCCCGGCTGGCAAATATAGGGTAGCTAATAATAGTTGCCGTGTAAGGGTGTTTGACTCCGGTTTTAATGGCCAGAACACGACGGGTTTCATCGTTCCGACTATGCAGCTGACTTGGCAGCCCCTGGTTTGCTTCAAGCGGAGTCAGGCGCAATATTACCCGAATGAAAGCAGTTAGGCCCCCTATAGACCGAGTTATGCCGAATCTGTCGGGAAGGGATGCTCAACCAATTGGCTTAGTGATATAACCCGTAGTTACAGGAAAACATGGGGGAAAAACGCGGGGTTCCATAGAGTGGACCAGAATCACCAAGCTGTGGAGGCTAAAAATGTCGTACGAGGGTAAATTTAAAAAGACTCTCGTCAAATTTACGTGCAAATATGGTTGGCCTCTCTGTCATCGAATTTGAAAAAGTATTTGATGTCAATATTAGGTTCCGTTGTCCGCCTGGCTCTCAACGAATACGGCATCGATGATGTCGTCAATAACAAAGTCATTTATGGACACGGCACCAAGTTTGTAGAATTCTCAAACAGCGCCTAACTCACGACCTACAATAGTCCAAGTGGTACAGCTGCGGCGATGACCCGACTCATCCCGGTGCGTATGGCGTGTTCATGGAGCGTGATCCATGATTCTAGGGTGCCATATGACGGAAGACGGCATTCTTATACGCCATGTCGCCTTCTCCAAGCCATTGCCTCCAACTCTGGAGGGGAATCGATGGACAAGACTTGAGAGCTTTCCAGCCCGCCCACATTCAAGGAGGCACAGCGCGTGCCATAGTTACAGGCTGTGATAAAGGATAGTATTCGAATACATCTCGCCTGCACCGGGCTTCTGGCTCGACAGAGTGGTCCCCGAAGATGGGGCGGTCATTTGTGGTCGGTGTTTTCCATGGGTGGCGCACTTTAACAAGATTGCTTTCAGTCTCGACTGTGATTAAGTCTGACTAGAGCAGTAGCCGCAATCAAATGAAATAGTGGCATAATGGACAGATACTACATTCTGGTAAGTTCTCGTTCCGTCAGAGGCTAATATGGCGGATGGTTGGTTTGGCTCAGGCATTAGGAAAAGCATTTTCCTGATGGAAATTAGCAAGCTTACCCCGCAGATCGTTAAAATCTTTTATCTCAATAATTAAACCATCGACTCTGGGAAAGCTTACAAGCTGCGGTGTCTGGTCGTGAAGAGTGGACGATAGACCCTATAAGGGGAGCGTGTCTGATTTGGCAAGCTGCAGGCAGTGGGATTCCTTGCTAGAGCAGTCGCTCAATCATCTGTGTTATAACAGAACTATAGCACTGAATGCCGTTCTCAATTTTTTTCATTCTTTTTTTCACACTCGTTCGTGGACAATGGTGATAGACACAGCCATTTTGCATCATGCCTTCATACATTGGGTTTCGAGGAGAATTTCCCGCGATCGGGTGCAGGTGCCAAGGAAGTCATGGCCTACCTACACTTCGGAGAATACAATTGCTTTCCAGAATAATACCCTCGGGTGATCACCTTGCTCTCCGATCCAATTCAGCTTAGTCCCGCTTCAGTTGGGCACACCATTCCCTTGAAATTGTTCTGCCGAATGAGATTCGTCGATTTCGATGGGTGACGTAGGACTTGTTTCGGCCGAACTACAGCAAATTTCTGTGGGTTGTATTTTATTAAGTCGACTTGTATGCCTTTGAGATTCACATGTCCTTATCTCACTGTTGCAATCCATCCTTATCAACATCACACACCACAAATCACTAGCAGAGTTATAGGGTACATTCTCAATGCCGGATAAGTACGATGAAGTTGGGGACACCGTCCTGCGACCGCACTATTTCGCCCACGTCGTTCTCCGAACTGCAAATTATCTGCCCATGAGGGAGTTCTACAAGACCTTTCTCGGGGGTCATACTACCTACGAGAACGAGAAGCTCTGTTTCATCACCTACGACGAAGAGCATCACCGCATAGCCATTATAAACCTCGCTGATACCGGGCCCAAGATCGCTAGCAGCGCAGGTCTAGGTATGCGAGCCAGCATCCTCTATTCCTAACCGCCGCGTGCCTGAGCGCGCAGAGCACCCATCAGAATCCGATACTGATTGTCATGATGAGATAGAGCACATTGCATATGCTTTTAAAAGTCTGGAGGATCTTGCCGTGACGTACCGGCAACGCAAAGCTCGTGGGATTGTGCCTGTCTGGAGCGTGAATCATGGACCGACAACGAGCATGTACTACAAGGACCCTGACGGTAACAAGATTGAAGTACAGGTCGATAACTTCGATACGGTCCAAGAAGCTACAGAATTCTTCCACACCAAGGAATTCGCTGAAAATCCCATTGGCGTCGACTTTGATCCCGAGGACTTGATACAGAGGTTGAGATCGGGCGAGGATCCAAAGGCCATCATGAAAAGACCTAATATTGGGCCAAGGACCAGTTTCAACCGTCCTTAGATTAGGAAGAGATGATTTCGCAATTATTTACTTGCCATTAATGTATGGGTAACTTTTTTTTCTTGGTGGTTGGGTCGGTACCTTGATAACCCTCTCTGGTGACGAGCTAGAGTAAGAGATTTATGCCCGAAAACTCATTAAACTAGTTATTCAAGCATTGCGACCCCGTTGACTCGCCGAAGCTCTCGCAGTGCTCCTATTGACAGACCGCCATTTCTACACCCAAATTGCCACTACCCTTCCTATCAAACATCTCTAATGACGCCTAAGCACCGTTGCCTCTCCTGTGTCATTCAAATCAGATCTTCGACGCTGGCTGGGAAGAAGAAGGGCTAAGGCAGGCGACCGACTCTACGGCAAAGTTCACAGCCTCGTGCACCATTTCCATCGTCAATTCATGCTGCACGTTGGGAATGACCACGGTTTTCATCACAAGCTCGCTATCGTGCCGTCGGCTAGAATTATCGCCCACCATCTGTAGTAGGAATTCCATCACCGGACTGGTAAGCTTGTAAGGGGCCATCTTGTCTGCACCGCCGCTGACCACAAGCAACCTCTTGCCCCGCAAGCGTTCGGATATGATGGACTTCCGCACTTGCTGGGCCTCGGCTTCTGAAGGCTCTCTCCCTGATGCCCCGTACGCCAAGCTCATGATTCGTTGTGCGGCGTCAATGTCCCTGAGTGCTATTGCTAGGGTGCCGGGAAAGTCTCGACTGCCAATAAACTTGTCTCCTGGCGGCGTGGTATCGGCATAAGATGGTAAATTTGATAAACGGGCACGGTCGGTGAGCAAAGCTCGTAAATCTGCACAACCTAGGAGGATGATGTTGATCGTGATGCGCGGCTCGCCAACAAACAACTGCCAGGTGATATGCCCCCCCAGAGAGACGCCACAGCAGAGATGCTGCGTAATGCTTACCTTTCCCGAAGGAAAGATGTATGATGGAAGATGATCGATCAATAATGATACATCCGAGGCCGTGCCCTGGCAAATGGCGACCAGGTCCATGGCGTGATTTGGGTTTCCCGTCCTCCAGACTTGGTTGGCTGCTGGATTGGTCTGCCGTCGCCCATGGTTTCTCAGGTCAATGGAGACGGCAAGAAGGCCTTTGTTAGCTCGGTCTCTATCCTTCTTGCATCGTTCGTTCCAATCGGAAATGGCGATGCCGGCCAAAGGATCCATGGTTTCTGACCTTTCGAGTCTTGGATGCAACAGCCATAGAACGGCGACTTCAGTTATGGCGGTAGGAAGTTCGTCAAGGCCATGGACGGTCGTGATAATGCCTGAGACGCAAAATTCTCTTTGTGATACTCGAGGGACAGGAAACCCCACGAAGGTGTCCTTCATTGGATTCGTGGGTGGCTTTCGTCCAGCCATGATGCAAGGTCAGGCGGTTAGGAAGCAGGCGTGGAGTTTCGAAGGCAGCTCATGCTACATTCAGACACAAAGAAAGATTCTAATGTCTATTGAACATAGTGCATTTCACCTAGGGGAGAAAAGAGCTATGAAAAGTCGCGCAGCTTGTACATGAGCCGGAGCGCCAAACACCTAGTCTTGGCAAATCAAGGCTACGGCTAGATCCCTCATAGTCCTCCCAATAGAGTGACGAGTACAGGGTCAAAATGACTGCCCTCTGATCCGTTTCGGTAACAGAAACTTCATCATCTGGCCGGTGGTTCCGGATACCCGAGTTCCATCGACCGCGTGCTCGGCCATCATTTGTAAGATAGAGGGGGATGGTTCGGGATTGGCCATTTTGTCGCTATACCCGATTAGGTCGGAACAGAATCTCCAGTTCCATCAACGTTGCGAGAATGATAAATGCCATGATCTAGCAAGCTTGAAGCGATGGGACGGGCAATTGTACAATACGGAAACGTCATAATTGCTTGCGTCAAACATCAGAGCGCCATGGTCACTGCCACCGACTCTGCACAGTGGCCCGCAATATCCGTGCCGGAGGATATCAGACAACTGATCAACCTTTTTTTCACGTTGGTTGAATCAAAGTCCGAAAATGCTGGGTCCAGATTAGCCAACGAGGTG